GAAATGTCGCTCAATTTCTTCTCCTCCCACCTCCCCACTACCACCCAAAGGTAGACACGTGATGCCTCCTGGCTTTGTATTAGTGATTCAGAGGCAAAGTCGGAACGTGTTGAGTTGGATCTAGAAAGAGTGGCTCAATCTGCTCTGGCCTGCTTGCTCCATACCTGCATGAGTGGATTCTGATAGACACTGCATTTGGAGATCGGAACCACTTTGAGGAAGGTAACCAGGATAGGCAGATTGAAAAACCTGTCAAAGTGTTTGGCAAGTTTAGCCTGGAAAAGAGAAGATAGAAGGCACAGAAAAGCTATCTGAATAGTAAGAAGGCAAATATTACTAAGTATATACCATGTGCTCGACCCTGGGGATAACAGTGTTGAACAAGACACAACAAGGTTCCTGTGTCATGGAAATTACAGTCTAGAGGGAAAACAGACATTAAACAAATCTACAAATAAGTAAAAGTGATGCAAAAGAAGCTCTATGTGATGAGGATCAAAAAAGGAAAAGCTTTCCTTGAAGTGATATTTAAACTCAAACCTGAAGAATCAATATGAGTTAGCCAGGCAAAGAGAGTGATCAGTTATATGCAAAGGCTTTGTGGTGCAACAGTTTGGTGTATTAGAGAAATTTCCAAGTCCTGTATAACTGGAGTTAAGACAATAAACAGGAAAAGGGAAGAGAGCTGGTTGGATAGATAAGCAGGATTCAGGTCTTTTAGTGCCTGATAGCCATGTTTTAGATTTTGGGTTTTATCTGACAGGCAATGAAGAACCTACTGAAGATTTTAAAGTAGGTGTTGCATAAGTCAATCCATCCTAAACAGCATGATGTGGAAGATTAGTGAGTCACTACTGAAGGAGGGAGGGCTGGCTGGCTGGCTCTGTCTAAAGGGGTGCTGTGCTGTCTGTCATAGACAGTGATAGATTTACCATTGGAGGTGTTAAGGTGTCCAAGAGGGGGATCAAATGAGATGTTTGAACTAGATTCTCTTTGAGGCATCTTATACTCTTGATAACTACAATACTTGGCATCTGGTCATAAATGTCACTACTACTAATAATTGCCCTTGTCTGTATGTGTGGCATGATTCTAAGTCTTTTACAGAAATTATCAAATCCTCATTACAACTTTACAAGGTAGGAATTATTCTCATTTTACAAATGAAGATACAAGGCATCAAGTTAAATAACTTGCTCAAGCTAACAAAGTTAGTGAATAGTAGAGCCAAAATTTGAACCCAGATCTATCATACTCCCAAGTCCTGTCTTCAATAACTATAATACTTCTATACAGACAAGTACACAAATACATTAATAGGCACTTGGTGAATGAACAATTGAAGCTATAAAGATATTTAGAATTCTTCTAAGAGACTTTGCATTCTAAAAATATTTGCATGCCTACTATGTGCCAGGTACTCGGGATACAGTAGTTAATAAAGTGGACATGGTCCATTGTCTTCCTTGACTTTACAATATTAAACAGATATTAAGACAAAAATTGCACAAATAACCGTAACTGTGTTAAATACTTTGAAAGTAAAATAGAAGGTGCCATGTAACAAGGGGAGCTAATCTAGTATAGGAAGTATTGAGAAATGATTCCGTTTAACAACCTTAGCTTTCTCTAAAAAGTTTCTGGTTACCATTCTTTAATGGTTTCTAACTGAGTCTTAGTAACTTTTAATCCTTGCTAGAAAGGATTCTGGCTACAATCAGTCACTAGTGAACTATGGGTTCAACATCAATAGCAATTACTCCTAAATCAGTAGGTCATTTTACCCTGACATAAGTGCGGTATTTCTAAAAGCATCTAGACTCCATTTTCTGGATGCTTGACACCTCAAGCAACTTGCCATACCTCCTCTTCCAGTGAGAACAAAACAGCTTTTCTGTCTCCACTAGGCTTCCTTATTCCTGTTATTTCTCCCAATCAATTAGAATGAACAACTTGGAACCTGTAGTGTCTGACTTCTGTGTCTCCATCTTCTATAGCATCAGATAATTTTTTTAAACATTTTATTGTGTTTTTGGTGAAAGTTGACAGAGCAAATTAAGTTCCCATTTGACAATTTCTACACAAATTGTACTGCGTGGTTTCAAATAAGGAAAGGTATATGTCAGGGTTGTATCCTTTCACTATACTTACTTAATCTGTATCCTGAGCAAATAATCCAAGAAGCTGGACTATTATAAAGAAGAATGTGGCATCAGGATTGGTGGAAGACTCATTAACAACCTGCAATATGCAGATGATGCAATGTTGCTTGCTGAAAGTGAAGAGGATTTGAAGCACTTACTGATGAAGATTAAAGACTACAGCCTTCAGTATGAATTGCACCTCAACGTAAAGAAAACAAAACTCCTCACAACTGGACCAATAAGCAAAATCATGATAAATGGAGAAAAGACTGAAGTTGTCAAGGGTTTCATTTTACTTGGATCCGCAATATACACCCATGGAAGCAGCAGTCAAGAAATCAAATGACTTACTACATTGAGCAAATCTGCTGCAAAAGACCTCTTTAAGTGTTGAAAAGCAAAGATGTCACTTTGAGGACTAAGATGCGCCTGACCCAAGCCATGATATTTTCAATCGCCTCATATGCATTTAAAACCTGGACAATGAATAACGAAGACTGAAAAGAATTGATGCCTTTGAATTACGGTGTTGGCAATGAATATTTAATATACCATGGACTGCCAGAAGAATGAATAAGTCTGTCTTGGAAAAAGTACAGCCAGAGTGCTCCTTGAAAGTGAGGATGGTGAAACTTCGTCTCATGTACTTTGGACATGTTATCAGGAGGGACCAGTCTCTGGAGAAGGACATTATGCTTGGTAAGCTGGAGGGTCAGCAACGAAGAGGAAGACCCTCAACGAGATGGATTGACACAGTGGCTGCAACAGTGGGCTCAAACATAGCAATGATTGTGAGGATGGTGCTGGACCGGGCAGTGTTTCATTCTGTTGTACACAGGGTTACTATGAGTCGGAACCAACTCGATGGCACCTCACAACAACACACAAATTGTTCGGCGACATTACATTTTTCACAAAGTGTCAACACTCTACTTAATTGTGTCCTGGTTGTTCCATTTCCAGTGCTCTAGTTTCCCTTCTCATCTTTCCTTTAGAGTAATTGTTGACCTTTTGGTCTCATAGATAGCTTTTTAATGGAGCACTGTATTCATGGATAATATCCTTTATTTTGTGTGTCAATCTGTTATTTTGCTAAAAGTGACCTCGGGACATCAAACAATTTTTTAAAAAGTATTTGTCATAGCTAACCTTCTCTCCTTCTTTACTGTGACCCTCTTCCTCTTGGTGCAAACCAAATTCTTGCAGCATTTGTAATCTGATCTTACAATTTAGATTATGCACTTTGTATGTGAACTACCTTTTTTCACATAAGCTTTTTGGAAACATTTTATATCTTCATGATAGGTACTGTTGTTGTTATGTAAGGACAGAGTAGAACTGCCCCATAGGGTTTCCAGGAATGGCTGGTGCATTTGAACTGCCGACCTTTTGGTTAGCAGCCCAGCTCTCATCCGTTGTGCCACCAGGTACTAGTCAATAAATAATCAATCGATACTGGTCAGTGCCAGTCAAATATAAGTACTAGTAAGTACTAGTCAGTAAATAATTGATTTGAAAACATGTCCTATGTTACAGTGTAGCATGCTACTGTTTATAAAGTGCTTAGAAAATTATACTATTTGTTCCTAATACAAACCCTGGGAAGGAGGTGGAATCCTCATTTTACAGATGAGCAAAATGGAGCTCAGATACGTTAAAGGCCTTCTCAAAGATCAGAATTTCTAACCAATAGTGGCATATGAAAATAAGTGGGCTACAAAATGATCCAATAATAACCTCCGTCCACATTTAATCCGAGAAGCTGGACTATATGAAGAAGAAAGGGGCATCAGGATTGGAGGAAGACTCATTAACAGCCTGTGATATGCAGATGACACAACCTTACTTGCTGAAAGTGAAGAGGACTTGAAGTGAAGATCAAAGACCACAGCCTTCAGTATGGATTACACCTCAACATAAAACAAAAATCCTCACAACTGTACCAATAAGCAACATCATGATAAACGGAGAAAAGATTGAAGTTGTCAAGGATTTCATTTTACTTGGATCCACAATCCACACCCATGGAAGCAGCAGTCAGGAAATCAAAAGACACATTGCATTGGGAAAATCTGCTGCAAAAGACCTCTTTAAAGTATTGAAAAGCAAAGATGTCACCTTGAAGACTAAGGTGTGCCTGACCCAAGCCATGGTATTTTCAGTCACATCCCATGCATGCGAAAGCTGGACAATAAATAAGGAAGACCGAAGAAGAATTGACGCCTTTGAATAGTGTTGGCGAAGAATATTCAATATACCATGCACTGCCTAAAGAACGAACAAATCTGTCTTACAAGAAGTACAACCAGAATGTTCCTTAGAAGCAAGGATAGCGAGACTATGTCTCACATACTTTGGACATGTTGTCAGGAGGGATCAGCCCCTGAAGAAGAACATCATGCTCAGTAAAGTACAGGGTCAGTGAGAAAGAGGAAGACCTTCAATGAGATGGATTGACACAGTGGCCTCAACAAAGGGCTCAAGCATAACAATGATTGTGAGGATGGCGCAGGACTGGGCAGTGTTTCGTTCTGTGGTGCGTAGGGTAGCTATGAGTCGAAACTGACTTGACGGCACCTAACAACAACAACACATTTACCAAGTAAAGTATTCACTCTAAGAAAGCCCTCATTAAATTTTCTCTCCTCCCTAAATTCCCATTGAACCTCAGTGCACCTCAGTTTCCTCATCTGTCATGTAAAAATAACCTTTATCCATTTCATGGATTGCTGGAAGTGTTCTATATCTACACTGTCTAATGTGATACCCACTAGCCACATGTGACTATTTAAATTTAATATTAAATAAAATTTAAAATTCAGTTCCTCAGTAACACTATCCATATTGTAAGTGGCTAGTGGCTACCATATTGGCCGGAGAAGATATAGAACATTTCCATCATTGTAGAAAGTTCTATTGGACAGTGCTGTGGTAGAGCTAGGACTTGCCAAAGATCCAAGAAAGCAACCTGACTGAATTGAAAACCAGGCCAGTGCCTGTTCGTTTTGAGTGAGAAGGGTCACTTGGGTGAGTGGGGAACAAGCTGACCTTTGGAACAGTGACATCACAAAGCACAGCTCACAATGGCTACAGAACACGTGGGATTCCAGGCTACTCTCCCTAACTCATATCTAGGTTTCTGAAGCCTCTGCACATGTTGTTCCTGGAGCTGCTGCTGTCTTATTAAAATGTCAACATTTCTACCTGTATCTCCTTCCTGGGATGACGTTATAGATTCTCTCTCTCTGAGCACAATATGGAATTGGCTACAAGCAACTTTTCTGGGAGAGTCTAGTGAGCCCCAGCAAACAAATTTGGGGATACTACATAATATTGCTCCAGCTGTGCAAGTTATCCTGAAGATTTGCTTTTTGATTTTGTTGACAATAGGATTATATGCCTTATCGAAAAGAAGTATTCAGTCAATTCAGGTTATACTCTTTTGTTACAGAGAAATTTAAATAGTTATAAATTGAAATTTGATTAGTTCTTTCCCATATACCTGACACCTAGTTTCAAGACCATGAAGGTGAGCAAGGGTGAGCCCTTGTCTCTAAAGCTGGTTGAAACTAGGTTAGCCTTGAAATCTTCCATCAATTAGGTTTTGAGCATAAAAATGCTCTTTCTCACAATGGTCTTTGGCTTGTATGCTATAATAAAATAAAGAAGTTTATAAGCTGGGAAGGCAGCCTTAGGTCTAAATTTCTTTGATCATTTATTCATCTTTGAATGCCTACTATGTGCCAACGCTAGGTAGGTTAGCTTTTACAGAACAGGCACCGGCAAGTATAACTGGAATCTTGGGTTTGGCCTTTCTGTCCTTACTATGGTCTGAAACTGCTGTGGTGGAGGAATGTGCGATCATTGTCATTGCAGTATTTTCATTATTTCCTTGTGTTAAAGACAAAAGATAAGGCTCCATAAATATACAGGGGCTTTTTTGGGGGAAAGGCTGTAACTGGTGGGAACCGTGAGAAACATTTAGGATTTTACAAACTTCTGTTTAATCACCAATAATGATAGCGGTATAGTCAAAGTGCTTTGAGAAATCCCAACAATTCCATGAAATTGTGGTCATTTTCACATGGCAAATGAAGAAACTGAGGTTCATTGAAGTTCAATGGAAATTTAAGGAGGAGGTAGGATTTAAAGAGGGCTTGGTAAATACAGAGAGAGGTTATCATTATTTGTAAGTGAGGGAACTTGGTTATCACCTGCCCAAGTTCCCATAGTTTGTAAGAGCTAGCAAAGCTGAAATATGAACCTGATTTTTAGGATTCCAAATTCAGTGCTTCTCCAAAATCTCACTTAACTGGAATCTAACTGAACTAAAAGGAGCCCTGGTGGCACAATGGTTAAGTGCTCAGTTGCTAACTGCAAGGTGGGCAAACCTATCAGCCGCTCATGGGAGAAAGATGTGGCAGTCTGCTTCTGTAAAGATTACAGCCTTGGAAACCCTATGGGGCAGTTCTACTCTCTCCTATAGGGTTGCTATGTGTCAGCGGACTTCACAGCAATGGGTTTTGTTTGTTTGGAACTAAATCCTCGATAGGAATGGGTGTATGTGTGTTGTGCGACAAAACAAACTCTTATCTGTAATTGTGGGGTATGCTCTAGTTTACAAATCTTTAGCTCAATCAGAAAGATGAACTGGCAGCCCTCCAGAGACCTCAGCCAAGAGAAAGAGGTAGTATAAAGGAGTAGTTAATAGCATGGGCTGTAGGGTCTGACCTAAAAGTAATCACCTAAACTCTAAGCCCCAGTTTCTTCATCTGTAAGATGAGCTTGCTAACAGTGCCTCCCTCATACGGTTGTTGTGAAGATTAAAGGAGATAGTGTATGTATAGTGCTTAGGATATAATAGGCATTCTATAAATGATGCTAGAAATTATGATGATAAGGAAGAAGATGAATAGTTTTATCCTCATCCTGGCAGGAATCTGTCCTAACACATTAAAAAAAAAAAAAAATTTTTTTTCATGACCAGAAAATCCAGTTTCTCAAACCATTGTGTCCTGAGAGTGTACTTAGAAGTCAAAATTCCTGGATTCCAATTCTGGCTCTACCACTTCCAAGTATCTGACTTTGGGTAATGACAGGGTCTGAAGTGGAAGGTGTCTAAATGGTTATCCAGTTGTTTTTCTGCATAAGTAAGTCCTGCATGGGCAAGGTTAACTCCTAGCACAAAGCCCAGCACGTGGCAAACTTTCAGCAAATTGTATCTATTATTATAACCTTTATTAATTAAATGCAAATAACAATCCCTGACCTCCCTATAGCTCCAGTTTGTGGTGAAGATGAAAAGAGGAAATTGGTGTGAAGATGTTTTATTAAATGAAAGGCTTGGCACAGGAGTGAGGGATTATTGGGTGTTTTGTTTTGCATCTATGGTAAACTGGTATTTCACGTGAATAAACAAATAACCCTCAACTTCTGTTGTTTCATTTTAGAGAATATTGTTGTTTATAATCACACTCTACAAAGTTTACAAGAAGGGTTCAGATTTTTTTCAGGCTTTGATGGCCAACTCAGAAGTGAACGTTTTCCCAGCTCAAGACAATAAAAATCTCTTCCTGTCCTTGGGTCTGCAAGAGAAAATTTTGAAAAAACTCCAGATAGTGGAAAACAAAGTGAAGGACCTGGAGGGGATGATCATTTCTCAAAAACCTATTACGAAGAGAGATTGCTCCTCTGAGCCCTACTGCAGCTGCTCCGACTGCCAGAGCCCCTTGGCCACATCAGGGTTTACTTCCACATCTGAAATGTGATGGACTCCACTCTTTTCCAGAAAAGCACTACTTCCCTCATGTGTGTACTGGTGTATCAATAAAGACAGAGAACTATATTGAAATTACCCTGCAAGGACTGGCTTTCTATTCAGTGGGGGCCAGCACCTACTTGTGTGTGTGGTGGGGTAGTGTGGGCTATGCTCATTGCCGTTGAGTCTAGCAGTGGTTACGAATGTCTCTGGGATTGTGAAGCCCAGGCAGCAGGCTGGAGACCAGACACTGCCATATAGGAAAAGATAGCCAAACTGGAATTCAAGTGGGTGGGAAAGGAAGAAACAGTGGTCACAAATATGGCTTTGAGGTTCATGCTGAAGAGGCTGGACTGGATGTAATAAAAACAGCAGGAAAGTGCCTTTTGAGGGAGACGCTGTGCACTGTCTTGTGTAGGTAGGATGTTACCTGTGTTGGCCCTTGGCCTACAGGTAAAGATGTGGTTCAGGAGTCTCCTGCGTTAATTTCTCAGAGGTGGATAAAGGTGGGGATGGACATAAAGGAGGCTGTCTTCGTCATCTAGTGCTGCTCTAACAGAAACACCACAAGTGGATGGCTTTAACAAAGAGTTTATTCTCTCACAGTCCAGTAGGCTACAAGTCCAAATTCAGGGCATCAGCTCCAGGAGAAGACTTTCTCTCTACGTGCTCTGGAGGAAGGTCCTTGTGATGCATCAGTCTTCCTTTGGTCTGGGAGCATCTCAGCACCAGAACCTCAGGTCCAAAGGATGCGCTCTGCTCCTGGTGCTGTTTTCTTGGTGGTGTGAGGTTCCCATGTGTCTCTGCTCGCTTCTCTCTCTTACATCTCAAAAGAGACTGGATTAAGACGCTATCTAATCTTGTAAACTTCGTCAGTATAACCTCATCATAGTGATGGAGTTTACAACACATAAGGAAATCACATCAGGTTTACAGTCATACAATACTGGGAATCATGACCCAGCCAAGTTGACCGATATTTTTGGTGGACACAATTCAATCCATGACAGAGGCTGACATAAAGAAGGCTGTTTAATTTTATCTTTTACTGACATCTACTCTGAGGTAAGCATTGTGATAATCCCTGGGAATCTCTGTCCTTCAGGAGCACTCAGTTCAGGACTCAGTAGTTCTGAAACTTCTCAGGTAGTTTTAGAACAGAGTAGTTTCAGAACAGGGAATTACAATACAGTGGGGTTGCATCATCTCGAACATAGGAGAATTCTACTTATATGGAACGCAGCTTGGCAGGGAGGAAGAAGGCAGGGAAGGATGCCATTCTACTCAATGAGTGTGCACCCTGATGAGAAAAGGATGAGCTACTGGGACATGGCAGTAGATGGCTCCCTCAGTGGGTCTCAGTTTCTATAAGCCTTACAGTGTAAGCATTTTTGCCACAATAAGTGTGATTACAGTAGTTGAAACACTTTGTAACTATCTGGCATCTAAATGAAATGTTTTATTTGGTGTACAAATAGTGACCTGTTGCCATGCAGGCGAAGAACTGGCTATGCTGGCCTTCAAAAGACAATATAGCAGTCTCCAAAGTGGCACCTTCCTAAGGGATTTCCAATGGTGATTTTGATTATTCTTAATTTTTGCCCAGTGCACTAATGTCAAAATGTAACTCCTGTATAGACGAAACTTCACTGCACAGTGTACTATGTGCAAAAACAGGTGGGCAAATTCAGGGCAGGATCAGGAAAGACTTTGCAGAGAAAGTGACATTAAGCTGGCCCATGAAGGATTATAAACAGTGAAATGAAAGGCATTCACGCTGGTGGAATCATCATGGAGGTATATAAAAAAAAAAGGATGTCTTGCCTGGGACAGTTTCACGGTGGCTGAAGCACTAGGCATATCCAGAGCTATAATTAAGCATTTTGGCTTCAGGGCAAGACATTAACCTCATTCCCAAATCAACTTTAATTCATCATGTGATAAACAGAACAGATGGAAGTTATTAACAATGTACATTATCTGACAGTTTAGGTGAGAAGTTTGTTATTGCACTGCTAAAGGAGTGCCACGCAATCTTTTAAAATCAATGTCTCAATTTTTTGTGCCACATAATTTTGAGTGGCAGGAGCTTCTGTGAGGCTTTGGACTAACTAGAGCAGGTTGAGTGGACCCAGAAAAGTGAAGAAAAGACGAGTGCAGAGGCCATAGCATTAATGGCCCAAGGAAAAGAAAATGTTGAAAAACTATGTATCCCTTCATATTTTTAACTTAATATCTAGAAGTTTTCATCAAATTTAAATAGTTGCAAAGGATGTAAATTATGGCAAATTGTCCTGAGATTTTAAAATAAAAGGGTTGAATCAATGTATCCAACAAAATCTACATATCATAACAAGTGAATAACTACCATCATTCATTTAAAAAACACATAAATGAAAAATTGGAACCCTTATCCATTGCTGGGGGGAATGCAAAATGATACAGCTGTAGTGGAAAACAGAATGGCAGTTCCTCAAAAAATTAAAAATAGAATGCACACCTATGTTCACTGCAGCACTATGCATAATAGCAAAAAGATGGAAACAACCTAATCGCCCATCAATGGATGAATGGATAAACAAAACGTGGTACATTCATATTATGGAATACTACTCAGCCATAAGAAGTGATGGGTCCTCCAAACATAACGTGGATGTATCTGGAGGACGTTATACTGAGTAAAACAAGTCAATCACAAAAGGACAAATATTGTATCATCTCATTTTTATAAAATGACAAGAATAGGTATGAGAGACTAATGTTCATTGTAATTACCAGGAATGGGTGGGTGGGTGGGGTTGGAGAGGGGAATCACTCTCTAGATAGCAGACACTTGTTATATTTGGTGTTGAGAAATGTTAACACCGAATGTGAATGAAGTGTGCAAAGCTTTACCAAGGTAAACGATGTCACTAAGATGTACACAGGAAAAAAAGATCTTTTGGTAATTACTACGGCATATATAATTTTGCAACAACCAAAAAATATATGTGCGAATATATATGTATGTAGGCATATATGTATATAGGTATGTATATGTGAGTCTATATGTGTGTACATATAGGTGTATGCATATATATATATATATATATATGCATGTCTGTGTGTATGCACATATATAATAAAGCACATAGTGGGCACAGTTATGGATATTCCTTAGACATGACCAAACACCTCATAGGGTTGGTTTTCTGGGTTTGGAGGCTTAGGACCATAGTTTCATGGGACAACTCGGTCAACTGGCATAAGAGTTTATAAAGTTTATGTTCTACATCCTAGTTTGGTGAATAGTGGCTGGTTCTAAAAAGCTTGTGAGTGGCCCTCTAAGATACAGCTATTGGTCTCCACTTGTCCAGAGCAAAAAAGAAAGAAGGAAATGAAAGACTCAGAGAAGAAACTAGTCTACAAGACTAACAGTTTATATGAATCACAGCCTTATCTACCCTGAATCCAGAAGAACCAGATGGTGCCCAGCTACCACCACCAACTGTTCCGATTAGGGCCACAATGGATGGATCTCGATAGCATGGAAGAAAAGTACAGAACAGAAGTGTCTATTCTTAAAAAATACACACTTTTTGGACCAGTTGAGACTGGAGGACTCCCCGAGACTATTGCCCTGAGATACTTTTTAAACCTTGAACTGAAACTATCCCAAGGTCACCTTTTAGCTAAATAACAGATTGGCTCACAAAATAAAGAGTATCATCCATCAGTACTGTGCTCATTTAAAAAATCATCTATATGAGGCCAAACGGTCAGCAATTACTTTAAGAATAAAGATGAGAAGGTAAAGGGACAGGGAAACTAGATTACTGGAGACAGAACAACCAGAACAGAAATAATGAGAATGTTCACGCATTGTGAAGAATGTAACCAATGTCACTGAACAATCTGTGTAGAAATTGTTGAAAGGGAAGTTAATCTGCTGTGTAAACTTTCATCAAAAACATGATAAAACATTATTTTTAAAAAATTAAAAATAGAACTACCATATGACCCAGAAGTTCCACTCCTAGGTATATGCCCAGGGGACTTAAGAGCAGTGACACGAACAGACATATGTACACTGATGTTCACTGCAGCACTATTCACAATAGCCAAAAAGTGGACACAACCTAAGTGTCCATCAATGGATGAATGTATAAACATAATATGGTGCATACATACAATGGAATACTACTCAGCCATAAAGAGAAATGCAGTCCTGATACATGCTACAACATGGATGAACCCTGAAGACATGCGAAGTGAAATAAGTCAATCACAAAAGTACAAATATTATATGATCTCACTTATATGAAATGACAAGAAGAGGCAAATGTATAGAGACCAAAGTCTATTAGTGGTTACCAGGGGCAGAAGGGAGGGGGAGAGTGGGAGCCACTGTTTGGGAAGTAGTGAGTTTCTGTTTATGATGATGGGAAATCTGGCATCGATTAAGGGTAATGGTTGCAGAACATGATTAATGTACAGTCATCCCTCGGTATCCAGGGGGGGGATTTGTTCCAGGAACCCTGCAGATACTAAAATCCGCAGATGCTCAACTCCGTTATGTAAAATAGCATAGTATTTGCATATAACCTATGCACATCCTCCTATATACTTTAAATCATCTCTAGATTACATATAAACCCTGGTGGCATAGTGGTTAAGAGCTACGGTTGCTAACCAAAAGGTCGGCAGTTCAAATTCACCAGGCGCTCCTTGGAAACTCTATGCAGCAGTTCTACTCCGCCCTATAGGGTCACTATGAGTCAGAATCAACTTGACAGCGATGGTTTTCTTTTTTTTTTTTTGGCTTAGATTACTTATAATACCTAATACAATGGAAATGCTAAGTAAATAGTTATTATCCCATATTGTTTACGAAAAAATGACAAGAAAAAAAGTTTGTAAATGTTCGATGCTCAAACGACGAGTGCTGGAGACTGAGAATCTGTGAAACGGTGGGAGGTTACAGCAGGGTATGCCTACACATCATTTCATTCGTGTGGATTCAGCATAGTGCTCTGCATGCAGCAAATTCGAGTTGTGCTTTTGGAAACGTTCTTTTTTTGTTTTTTCCTTGAATATTCTCGATCCACAGTTGGTTGGACCCACGGATATGGAGGGCTGACTGTAATTGGTATCACTAAGCTATATACCAGAAAACGGTTGAATTGGCAAATGTTGTGTTATATATATTTCTACAAAAAAGAAAAAAGCAGCTGCTGATACTGCCTATGTACAAACACACTTCATGGGATTTGTTTTCTTGTTTTAGAGGCTTATTCACCTAGAGCAGCAGGGGAAGAAGGGGGGTCAGGATCAGAAGAGGAAATGGAATGCGTGTCTAATTGCCTCCATGAACAACTGCCTCCTTTGCCATGAGACAGAACTGGATGGTGCCTGGCTATCGTTACTGAATGTTATGATCAAAGATTCTATAGAAGAATCTTGATCAAAAGGGGGTAAAAGGTGGAACAGAATTTCAGATTCTCATGGAATCCAGATTTTCTAAAGCCACTGAGGCTGAACGACCTCCCAAAACTATTGCCCTGAGGAAATCTTTAAACCCTAAATCGAAACCATCCCCTGAAGCCATCTTAAACCAAACAGTAGTTTAGCTTCATTAGGTAAAAAAAGTCTGCCTTGAGCATTGTGCTCTTTTAAGGAATTATCTTTATGTGAGCAAATTGACAACAGCATTTCAAGAGGTTAGAGAGAAGATTAGAGGGCAGTGAGTTTGTGTTACTGATGGTGAAATAATTTAGAAAAGGATATTGAGAAAGGTGGCACATGTGAAGAATGTAACCAATGTCACTGAATTGTACATGTAAAAATTGTTGAGGGGATTTGTTGGTGTATATATATGAATGAGCTCTTTAACAATCTGAAATTCCACTTTCTTCTTTTATCATCTCTAACTTATATTTACATTTTACTCAGCTATAAAATGTTATCTAAATATAATACTTCTATGATTGAAAAAGCTTTTTTTGACCACTTCTTTCCAATAAAAATATGTCTGCATTAAAGTAGAAAATTTTTTAAATTTCCTGTAACTGTTAGGCTGTATGTGTTAGAATTCTTCTGAATGGAGTAATCATTATAATTATCTTTAATATATAGATGATCAAAATGATACAACTACAAATTTTGATAAACATAAAAAGTAAAACTTTTTATGTTTATTTTACCACAATAAAATTAAAAATTAAAACTTTATTGGAAATGCATCTGTTAGATCAATTCACGTATCTAATATTTCTCACTGCTAGGCTAACAGGGCTTAGTTTCAGTTCTGTTTTGTTTTCATAGATATAAATGCTAAGAAATATTATTCATATAAATAAATAGATCTGAATGCTAGTAGTTTTGTTATGGCAATATCAATCCTTTGATTTCCTTCTGAGTCATAGACCGATCAAATAGTGTTCATCGAAATTTATTTGTAATGATCCATCAGTTGACAATTCAATTAGATTCACCACTGATTTTGTTGAAAGTAAGCAACTGGAATCCATCTGACTTAGAAAAGAATTTGTTATCCTGTCATTAATCATTCACTTTCTCAAGAGACTTTTAATTATACTGATTACTCTCAGAGGCATTTAGGAAGAGCTGGAAAATTGGAAATATTGTTAATTTCAACACCTCTTTAGCATTACAATATCACTAAACATTTTCAGTCACAACCTTGCAGCTGCAGATTTAGCTCAATTTATTGAAAATGATAATTATATGTAAATTAGCAACACCAGTCTCTGTCAAACCAATTAACCACATCAGACTTTGGTCTGAAAAAGTCTGACTTCACTTTTCAAGTCAAATAAACGTTCATAGGCGTCCCTGTGACTAATTTCACTTGTGAATCACAAGACATGGCATTGAGCCTTGCTAGGTGTTAGTCCCCTAGATGAAGGTCCTTTCGTTTCACGTATTTCTAACCACGCTCTCCTTGCGCTACAAGAGGCAAAATGTAGCCTCCGACTACACTTCGCATGAATGAGGAGAGATCTTTAAACGAAAACTTCCATCACTACCACCCACTCTATAATATTCCTGAATTCTGAACATCCCGATAGAGGCCAAAAAACTCCGCTTACAATGCCCTTGTTTTGGTCTTAGCTATCCTTTTAGTCTTAAATTATCCCGGGAATGAACCTACGCTAGTTTGAACAGCACTGGTTTAGAGGAATCATTTTTAGTCTAGAGGAATCATTTTTAGTCTGGGGAAATCGGCTCCTCTCCCCCACCCTTCCCTGCTACCTGAGGGCCAGAGTGGAGGCGCACTCAGTGTCAGTTCCCACACAGCACCGATTAGCAGTCGGATTGTCCCTGAGGGGAAGATACCGCAGAGACTGCAGTCCACGCAAGGCAAGCCCCGAACCGCAGTAATACTCCACAGACCAGAAAGCAGAGAACTCTGCCGCGCTGCCGGGAACGTTGGTGCAGCGTGGGTCAGCACGACGAGAGACCGCGGGATTCGGGGACTGTAAAGACTACAACTCCGCATCTTGGCTCCCGCAGTCTTTGGGCCGGAAGTGAGGTGGGCGGGGCTGGTCCTTTTCCGGCAGAATCCAGGAAGCCCTGGGCGGAGCCTTATGGGGAAGAGTGTTTGTGTGGCACCACCGGTTGCGCTGAGGGTTAGGATGGGGGCAGGTGTCGGTGTAGGGGTGCTCGGAAGGGACGGATATCGCTGTGACACTGCGGAGACGCTTTGAAGGGACGTGCTGGTGTGGCACCGGTGCACGCTGAAGGAGCCGGCGGAACCGGGTGGCGATGGGGCTGTGGGAGTCGCTAGACGCGATGTGGCAGATGCCGGCCGAGGAGCGTATATTCGGAGTCGTGTTGCTCTTCTCCTGGACAGTGTATCTTTGGGAGACCTTCCTAGCACAGCGGCAGGTGAGCGTAGACAGGCCCCACCTGACCTCGATACCTGGCCATCTTCGGCCTCGACCCCAAGCATCTGTATAATTGGTCCGGCCCCAGCACTAGTCTGGGCCCCGCAGTCCCTAATAAGCATCCTACCTTGGCCCAATGGTGGGCTGTGCCATGAGGGGACGTTCTCCGCAACGATATCATGGGACTCAAGCTGGATAAGGCCTGGGGGAAAGGAAGGAAGGGCTGCCGCCTTGCCAGGCTTGAATTCTTGTCCCTGTCCCAACTCCCTTAGGATTCTCGCGCCCAGACTTAGCCTCCTTTCTCTTTGGCAGCGAGCCTTCAAAAAGAAGCCTTCAAACAGAAGATGCTAAATTTTTAGAACCAGGACTTCACTGTGATATATGTGTAATCATGCTCAACCATGGGATTAGGAAACCATTTTCTGAAAATAAGGATTTTGCAATTCTTCAAAGGACCTGAATTATTTTATCTTAAAAAAAAAAGTGTATATAGTATTTTTTCTCAAAGAACAGCATTTTCTTCTTTTTCTTAATAGTGTCTTTACTATTTTTGCTTAATTTTTTTTATAAAGTAAAAGAGAAAATTACTTGATAACAACTCTCTGGAGACAGCCACAATTAACAGTTTGATGGATTAGGGATCTGAACTTTTAAATGAAATGGATTTTAAGTTTAATTGACGTTTTTACTTGCAATCTCTCACTGCTGGTTTTACCAACACTCTTCTAGGCTGCCACTGAGTTATGTCTAACATATGATGGTTATGAAAATCTTTGTTGTTAACTACTGGAACTCTTTGTTTTTTTTTGGGGGCCATTAATGCCTTTTTCCTGTTTAAATTTCTCTCAGTTTACATTCTACATGAATCTTTTAGATGCAAGTTTTTATTTTTTATTTTTCTATATCTGTTGATGTCTAAGGAGCCCTGGTGGCACAGTGGTTAAGAGCTCTGCTGCTGACCAAAAGGTTGCCAGTTTGAATCCACCAGCTGTTCCTTGGAAATCCTATGGGGCAGTTCTGCTCTGTCCTATAGGGTCACTATGAGTTGGAACGGCCTTGACAGCAATGGATTGATGTCTAGGTTATATCTTGATTTCTTCCTTTAGCCCAGGGTTTTCAAAGCTGTGTGTGTTTCTCTCACATAGCTCTTTGGATAGGTTCATTAGAACAGAATTTTGTAAACTTAGAAAAGACCTTTTGCATAAAGTGTCTAAATTGGAGTGTGGAGTATTGAAATCTGTCTTGCTTTAATATTAAGGCTAGTTACAGTAACTACTTTTCAGCAGTGTCTCCTTTACTGAGTTATGCTTTCATGTTATGTCCTCAGCTTTTATTAAGGGTTTGGTAAGAAGCTCAATATATATAAAGAACATTTGTTGTAAAACCATTGAAGGAGATGCTGACCATTATATCATTTGATATCTGTTCCCTGCATTATGTCCCCTGGACTGAAATTACCTTTTAGAATTTGATATCATGAAAAAGTTTGTCTTTCTTGAAGATCTGTTATGTTTCTGTTACTCCTCAAATTTCCCTTAATTTGGCTTCTAGAAACCCCAGGACCAAATTTAATGACCAGCCACAATATCTGTTAATACTCATGTTTCGCGTATTTGCTTCCTTTTCCTTTTTGTGAATTTGTTTTCTATTTTATAGGATTTATATAATACCTGCAATGAGTGGTACCCTTTGTGATGTTACGATTTTGTTTTACATATGCAGAGTGGTGTGATGACAACCCTGATTTTAATTTTACCTAGTCAGCTCCCATTCTCTTGTTCAGCTTTTACTATTCTGTATCGGTTGTTTCAGTGGTCAAACTACTTGATCAAATACAATATTTGTATATGTATAAAACAGATTCAACAAGCTTAAATGACAAGTTAATGCTATAAACCATTCAGTGTTTGATCAAAAGTGATTATTGTAGTAAACAGTGAGTTCATTTGACAAAGTATTTTCTTCACAATATTTCAGAGAAGGATATATAAGACAACAACTCATGTACCACTGGAGTTAGGACAGATCATGGATTCAGAAACATTTGAGAAATCTCGACTGTATCAGCTGGATAAAAGTACTTTCAGCTTTTGGTCAGGACTCTACTCAGAGATTGAAGGCACTGTGAGTAATTTACTTCTTGGAGAGACAATCTATCAAATTTTTTAATACCTTGTAATGTTTGTTTTCCTGTTTTTGTGACACAAAGGAGGATACCAGACCTGCAGATCCCAGAATGCTTTTTAAACTTTTGTTATTGATAAGAATGGGTCTGGATTAAAAGATGTAGAAACATAACTGTTTAGTTAGTTGAAAATTCTAGAATATGGTAGCCATCACCCTGAGGCCAGGGTGGAAAAGAAACTTGCGTTGTATGTTATTCTTGTAGGCTCTAACCCGTCCTCCACGTTGCAGGCAGAGGAATCTTTCAGAAGCACAGTTTTGATCATGTTATTCTCCTATACAAAACCTTTCAATGGCTTCCTGTTTCCCTCAGGGAAAAGCCCAAGCTTTTTGGCATGGCTTATGAGGTTCTTTATGAACTGATAACTGTTTATTTGTGCCTCATCTTTTTATTCCTTTCCCCTGATTATTTCCCCTCCTCTATTGGCCGCCCTCTACCCAGCTTGGTTTCTTATGACTTTGAGTCTTTGCACATGCTGATATCTCTGCCTAGAATGCTTTTACCCTCCCTCTTCATCTCCACTCTTTCACTGGAGCCTGGTTAACCACAGTGGTTAAAGCAATCGACTGCTTAATCAAAAGGTGGACGGTTCTCAACCACTGGCAGCTCCGAGGGAGAAAGATGTGGCAGTCTGCTTCCGTAGAGATTTATAGCCTTGGAAACCCTTTGGGGTCACTCGACGGAATCGACTTGATGGCAGTGGGTTTGGTTTTTTTGTTTTCATGCATTAGGATGCAGCTAAGAGATCATCTCTTCTAGGAGACCTTTTGAAACTCCTCCTCCCCCTCAAGTTTGGGTTAGGTAGCATCCTATCATTATTCCTATCACTTATCATATTGGATTGAACTTCCCTGTTAGTTGACAGACTGGTAGTTCCTTAAGGAAAGGGTATTTTAAGGTCTTGTTTATCATTTTATACCTACTGCCTGGCCTAAAATAAGCCCATAATTCGTATTTATTGAATGAAACAACGAATGACAGGCTGTTTTTATTTAGCAAAACAGAGGGTCAGCCCTCCCTCTCTTCTAGAAGAAGAGAAGCCGTATACTGTAGAGCAGTGTTTCTCAACCTTTTTATCCTTATCTTTCTCTCCTAAGATTCTTTTTTGGACATATTTTTCCTATTCGCTCCCTCCATGAAATCTTAATCCCACATACATACTGTATATCTATGTACGGTATATCTGTGCTTTATACAGAAAAAGAGTAAGATTTTTTTCACTCTCAAGAACCAGTTTTCACCCCTTTGGGGGCGCTGTTATCCCCATTGAGAGTGAATGGCATAGAGGTTTAAGCAGACTCTGAACTCAGGCGGCGTGAGTTTGAATCTCAGCTTCACCACGCTATCTGTGTGACCTCAGGTAAGTCTCTCAACATTTCTGTGTCTCAGCTTTCTGATCCATAAAAATAGGACAGTAATAATAGTTATTCATAATGTTGAGAGGATTAAATGAGTTACTATACATAAAGTGTCTAGATGGTGCCTGACCCATTTTAAGTGTTCGAAAGTACTGAATGTTATTATATTTACCGTCATGATCATGATGATCATTATTATTCCTCCAGAACTGTTTTAGATCCCCCTGTGCTACCAAGAGAAAGATTCATAAATGGAAAATAATTGATCAGCTACCATAATTGTTTCATGAGTTAAAAAGAAGGAAACTGGCTGTATATAGCTTTGTTAAATGTGACCACATTGTCTAGCTATTTACAGAATTTTTCTTGACAAGTATGGAATAAAATTGCATCGGCTTCTGGGGTACATAGCTATTGCTAGTTATTCGTCTTTTCTGTATTAACTTTTTGATTATAGTTTTACTAACCCAAGGCTAGGTTAGCTATTGTGATGTTGAAGTTTAGTATTAAAACCTGATGCTTTCCAACCAAGGCAGGAAAGGTAGCATTATTGTGAATTATGTTCAGCTTTGGTTAATTTCTCTGAAGCATTTCTTCTGTTAGGGGCAGGACCCAGGTAGGAAGTCAGTCTTTGAGACTGATGAGAGTTGGAGAGAGGTGAGAGTAGAGGTAGTGAATTGAGACACTATTCTCTTTCCTCTTTGATGTTTGTCTCTTTGAAGTTCTTTGTCTTACCTCCAAGGGACCATGATAAAATGACTGGAAAAATATTTTCAGTCTCTTTGGTTGTCACTCATTAACAGTTCCAGGAGAGATGGGCCATAGCATGGTCGTTATGGTTGATGACTGTGGACATGATGCTGTCTGTTCTTGGAGATAATAGAGGTAGGGAGAATACATATATAAAACGAGAACTTTGTAATTTGTTGTGGCTCAAACTAAAAGCGGTGCTGATGGGCTAAAGCTAGGAACTGTTATAGTCATCATCATCATAATTGTGTGGATAGTGATTTTCACTTCATACATAGTTTTTATTTTTTTTCTTTAATGTTTGTGACAACCCTCTGAGGTAGAAAGAACAGGTATTACTACTTCCTTTTTATGGATGAGGAAGCAAAGGCTCAGAGAAATTAAATGGCTTGCACGTTTAGTGACCAAGTGACACTCTAATAAATCAGAGAGCTGGGTCTCCAACTCTAGTTTTCCAAGTCTTTAAAATTACACTGAGAAAAAAAAAATTACATTGAAGAAACCATCCCAGAAACTCTAAGGACAGCAACATTAATGTGCTAAATTTATCCTTGGGAAATTAGTAGCTAAATATACTGTTTGATAAGAACAAATTTGGTGTTACACTGAAACTCTGTTCTGTTTGAAGGCAATCTCATTAATTCCTACTTTATGTTGTATATTTTGCTCACAAAGAACAAGTGGGAAGATTAATAAAGACTTTTTTTTTTTTGCCTCTGTACTTTCTACCTGAGGGAACCTTGAGCAGAGGCCTTGTGTGACCAATGACAGGCACCACCGTTCACGCAAATATGACAGAGCACTGAGAGAGAAAATGTCCAGCCTCTAAGACAGACTTTCCCTGATATCTCACAGATGTCAATGAAGAGCCCACGCAAGAAGTGGAAGTAAAAGAGTGAACTAGATCTATTTTTATCACCATAGCTGGATCTTAAAAATGTGGGGTGTAAAAAGCAAATTGTAGAATGATGAATGTAATATGATGTCATTCGTATACATTTGTAAATAGCATACATAAATCACTATATTATTTATAGATACTGTCATGGATTGAATTGTGCCCCACAAAAATATCTGTCAACTTGGCTAGGTCATGATTCCCAGTATTGTATGATTGTCTACCATTTTATCATCTGATGTGATTTCCATATGTGTTGTAAATGCTGTCACTGTGATGTAATAAGATGGATTAGCGGCAGTTATATTGATGAGGTCTACAAGATTAGATAGTGTCTTAAGTCAGTCTCTTTCGAGATATAAAAGAGAGAAGCAAGCAGAGAGACAGGGGGACCTCATATCACCAAGAAAGCAGTGCCAGGAGCAGAGCGCGTCCTTTGGACTTGGGGTCCCTGCACGGAGAAGCTCCTGTTTTGGGGGAACATTGATGAGAAGGCCGAAAGAGAGAGAAAGGCTTCCCCTGGAGCTGATGCCCTGAATTTGGACTTTTTTGCCTACTTTACTGCGAGAAAATAAGTTTCTCTTTGTTAAAGCCATCCACTTGTGGTATTTCTGTTATAGTAGCACTAGATGACTAGGACAGATACATATGTAAAAATGGAGAGTAGATTGGAAGGATACCCATGAAATATATGATAATGTCAAAGCCCCTCACAACCGCAAGGGGCCACGTCTGTACCAGTGGAAATACTGTGCTTTTAACGAAGGAGTGTGATTGGTCATTGTGCTCCTGAGATCCCACAGAAAGACAAAATGAATTGATTCCTCTTGACAAAATGAGTTCCATAAACTTAGTATCTGTTGTGGGAAGTAGTGTTTATTAAGCATGTATATATATATGTGTATATATATATTTTTTTTATTTCCCCCAAATTTTAAGAGCTGCCCCCTTGTTCTAATGTCCTGGTACTTTGATGAATGTCTGTGTTCACTTTATCTACCAAGACAAAGAGTGGTGCTGAGAAATGGGGCCTATTCCTATAAAACCCTGACTCCTACCTAAGGAAGCACCTTTTCCTGACCCAGAGAAGGCACAGATGTCCCATTTCATCCCTCAGTTTAGTAAGTGGACATGGCTTTCTGTGTCTATACAGACACTTATACTTTGTCCTGACTGAAGAGGGCTGTTTCCTTTCAAGGAAAAGATAGTTAGGGAGCCAGATAGCCCAGTTCAATCCTATTTCTGTTACTCATTAGCTTGGATTTTGGCCAAGTTGCTTAAGCTTTCTAAGTAAGCTCAGTTTCCTGATTCAAGAAGTTTTTATTGTGATCTTTTGGCAAAAGGATTTTTTAAAACAATTTTATTGAGATATAATTCACATACCATGCAGTTCTCACATATAAAGTGCAGAGGCAAGAACTTTTTTAAAATCTAAACTTAGTATCTCAATTGGTTTGTATTCACTCATCTAAATTCATACTTTATCTAAAATGAGATAGGTCTCATTTTTCTTAAGAGTTAATTATTTTGTCCTTTTTTCTTTATAATATGCTCTTATAGTTTCCTGTACTATACAAATGTGACCAAAGTATACTTTGTTTTATAGCTTATTCTTCTCTTTGGTGGAATCCCTTATCTCTGGAGACTTTCTGGACGGTTCTGTGGATATGCTGGCTTTGGACCAGAGTATGAGGTATGTGATTCATTAGCGTACACTTGTCAGAGTCTTTCTTTTGCTTGTCAAGCTTTATGCTAAAGTCAGGCGTGCTTTCTGCACCATCCTTGTCCCCCATACGGTATTAGTTAGGATAATTCTAGTTACTGTAACAAACCCCAGAATTTCAATTGCTTATCACAACATTATTTCTCAGTTACATAATAGTCCAGTGTAAGTATGTTTGGTCAGCAGGTAGCTATCCTCATGTGGTGAGTCAGGGACACAGACACTTTTTATCTTATGATTTGGCCACCCCCTAAGCACTCCAGGGTTCTCTGTATTCAGCAAGCAGATGGAATGAAGGGGTGGAGAAATCACACCCTCTTCTTAACTTTCTTGACTCTGAAGTGATACCGGTTCTTTGCACTCACATTTTGTTGGTAAACAGTCATTTGGTCTCACCCAGATGCAAGGGAGCTGGGAGTTGTAGTCCCTGGCAGACAGCTGCTTCTCCGGGATGACTCTGTGTAACAAAAGGGGAAGCATGAATTTTGTTCGACCCACACTAAGCAGGTACTTCTGTGCTACGCAGACTTAGCACGTACTTCAGACAAAGACAGATTATGCCAGAGTGTATCTGCTAAGATCTCCATTGGGCTGCTTGAGTTGGCTATCCACTCTCCTTGGAACTCCAGTTGCTGGGCCAAGCCTTAAACCTGAGACTCCCACCTGTAATTGATGCTGGGACACTGCTTCCTGAGTTTTCCTTGGAAACAGCAAAGTCTTTTCCCTCCTTGCTGATTGTTTATTTGAAATGATGGATCTCTTCAAAGTGAGTAATTGCATGAAGTACAAACTTTGCTGCTAGCTCTTCAGTCTACAGATCACTATGTAAATAACAGGTGCACATCATCATCAGCAACCAGTCACGTCACTTCTTTCAAAGTCTGCAGGTGATTGATCACTACACTTGTTACTCAGATCATGCACAGACAATAAAGTGTTTAGTTGTGTTGCCTCCTTAACTCCTACATAACATTTTACAAAAATAGATAATCAAAAGAGGGAATTGGCCAACAAAGGTGAAAGTGCAGGAGTCCCTAGGTGGTGCAAATGGTTAATGAGCTCAGCCAACCATGAAAAGTTGGCGGTCAAGTCCACTTAGAGGTGCCTCAGAAGAAAGACCTGTGATCTACTAAAAAAAAAAATCAGCCATTGGGGTAAGGGGAGGGAGATGAGAGTAAAATAAAGAAACAAAAAAGGAAAACACTGGAAGTAAAATTCCAATCTAACATGAATGGAGTTATAGAAGAAATTGCTGACCATGGAGGTGTTGATGCTGTCATTAGAGAGACTCTACATATGCAGCCAGAGGAGCTTGGTGAAGGTGAACTTATCCACATAATGAAGGAAGTGTTTGTGAAGAAAAGGATGACGATGTCCTAGAAGAAGTGATACGGGCTAACAAACCTCACATTAAAGGATTTCTCAAAGAGGTTTCATGACACTGAAAGCTCAAAGGATAAAATGTCGGAAGCTAATCTAACTTTAGAAAGAAATATAACAATTCAACAAGGCAGAGAAAAAAATCCTTGTTCCATATGGTAAGTTATATGATGAGAAGGCAAGCATTATTCAAACTACTCTTGATGAGTTTTTTACAAAGAAATAAAACACTGATTATTAATGTTTCTAAAGTTTTAAAATAACTGTGTACTAAATAAATATTGGTTTTACTATTTTTTTTTCTTCATTTCCCTATACATTTAGAGGTGTAATTCATACTGAAGGCTATTGTCTTTGCTCTTAAACAGTAAGTGCTTCAAGTCCTTTTTGCTTTCAGCAAGCGAGATTGTGTCATCTGCATATCACAGGTTGTTAATTAATCTTCCTCCAGTCCTGATGCCGCATTCGTCATATAGTCCAACTTCTCAGATTATTTGCTCAGCATACCAATTGAGTAAGTATGGTGAAAGGATATAACCCTGACTTACACCTTTCCTGATTTTAAACCACACAGTGTCGCCTTGTTCTGTTCGAATGACTGCCTCTTGGTCTGTATACAGGTTCCGCATGAGCACAATTAAGTGTTCTGGAATTCCTCTTCTTCACAGTGTCGTCCATAATTGGTTGTTATCCACACAGTCGAATGCATTTGCATAGTCAGTAAAACACAGGTAAACATCCTTCTGGTATTCTCTAGCCAAGATCAATCTGACATCAGCAATGATATCCCTTGTTTCACATCCTCTTCTGAATCCAGCTTGAATTTCTGGTAGTTCCCTGTCAATGTATTGCTGCAACCATTTCTAAATTATCTTTGGCAAAATTTTACTTGTGTGTGATATTAATGATATTGTTTGATAATTTCCACATTCTGTTGGATCACCTTTCTTTGGAATGGGAACAAATATGGATCTCTTCCAGTTGGTTGGCATAGATGAGTGAGCACTTCCAGTGTTGCATCCATTTGTTTAAACATCTCCACTGGTATTCTGTCACTTCTAGGAGCCTTGGTTTTCACCAATGCCTTCAGTGTAGCTTGCACTTCTTCCTTCAGTACGGGTGAAGATCAAAGACTACATCCTTCAGCATGGATTACACCTGAAAGAAAACAAAAATCCTCACAACTGGACCAATAAGCAACATCATGATAAAAGGAGAAAATATTGAAAGTTGTCCAGGATTTCATTTTACTTGGATCCACAATCAACACCCATGGAAGCAGCAGTCAAGAAATCAAATGACAAATTGCATTAGGCAGATCTGCTGCGAAAGACCTCTTTCAAGTGTTAAAAAGCAAAGATGTCACTTTGAGGATTAAGATGCACCTGAACCAGGCCATGGTATTTTCAGTCATCTCATATGCATGCGAAAGCCGAACTATGAATAAGGAAGACTGAAGAAGAATTGATGCCTTTGAATTATGGTGTTGGCAGAGAATACTGAATATACTGTAGACTGCCAGAAGAACAAACAAATATGTCTTGGAAGAAGTAGTTAGAATACTTCTTGGAAATGAGGATGGCAAGACTTTGTCTCATGTACTTGGACATGTTATCAGGAGGGCCCAGTTCTTGGAGAAATAGAAGGTTAGCAAAAAAGAGGAAGACCCTCAACAAGACGGATTGACACAGTGGCTATAACAGTGGGCTCAAACATAACAGTGCTCGTGAGGATGGCACAGATCCGGCAGTGTTCGGTTCTGTTTTTCATAGGGTCACTATGAGTTGGAACCAACTCAAAGGCACCTAACATCAACAACATACATATTTAGAACTGACAGTAAGAGAGTTTTTAATATTTTGACCAACATTTTTAAAGGTCACAGAACAATCGTAGTTTTTTCCATTGATTATTAAGATTGCTCTGCATGGTTTGAGCTTACATGGTCATTTTTATGGTCCCACACTACAGTGTAAAGCAAAGACTGCCTGTATTCATTGTATGCATGTATCATTTATTTAATTACTCTTCTATTGATAGATTGGTCCCAAAATTTCCTGTTTATAAATAATGCTATAGTGCTCATCCTTTTACCTAAATTTTCATGCAGTGTATAAATATTTATGTAATTAATTGGGTCAAAGTCTATGTGCATTTAAAATTCTTGATAAATGCTGCCAGACTCCCTTCTAAAACAGTTTGTTTGGTGTTATATTCTCTCATAGTGTGTGTCGTTGCGTGTGGTGTGCCATTGAGTCTATTCCGACTTATAACGGACCTGTAGGACATAGTAGGAGTGCTCAGTTGGCTATCATTTTTATAGAAGCTGATTGCCAGATCTTTCCTCCCGTGGAGTTACTGGTGGGTTTGAACCACTGACCTTTGGGTTAGCAGCCGAGTGCTTAATCACTGTGCTGCCAGGGCTCCTCTCATAGTGTATGAAATATCAAAATACCCTTTCCATGGATCCTCACTAATACTTATTATATGTGCAATCTTTTTATTTTTGCCACTCTGACAGGGAAAAAACGTTATTGTGCTCTTATTTCATACAGCACTTTTTTTTTTTTCTAATCGTACTTTAGCTGAAGGTTTTTAGAACAAATATTTTCTCATTAAACAGTCAGTACACATATTGTTTTATGACATTGGTTAACAACCTGATGACATGTCAACATGCTCTCTTCTCGGCCTCGTAGGACCTTTTTTTTTGGTGAAAAATATACATAGCTAAAGATACACCATTTCAAAAATTTCTACATGTACAATTCAGTGACATCGATTATGTTCTTCCAGTTGTGCTGCTATTCTCACTTTAGATGAAGGTTTACAGAACAAAATAGTTTCTCATTAAAAGTTAGTACACATATTGCCCTATGACAATAGTTAAGAATCCCACTACGTGTCAACACTGTCCTTACTCAACCTTGGGTTCCCTATCACCAGCTTTCCTGTCCCCTCCTGCCTACTAGTCCTTGTCCCTGAACTACTATGCCTCATTAATCCCATTTTGTTTTATGGGGCTGTCCAGTCCCCAGCTGAATGGTGAACCTTGGGAGTGACTTCACCACTGAGCTAAAGGGGTGTCGGGGGGCCATACTTTCGGGGTTTCTCCAGTCTCTGTCAGGCCAGTAAATCTAGTCTTTTTTTTTGTGTTAGAATTTTGTTCTACATCCTTCTCCAGCTCTGTCCAGAACCCTCTGTTGTGATCCTGGTCAGAGCAGTCAGTGGTGGTAGCCGGGCACCATCTAGCTGTACTGGACTCAGTCTGGTGGAGGCCTTGGTAGCTGTGGTCCGTTAGTCCTTTGGACTAATCTTTTCCTTGTATCCTGTTCTCTTCATTCTCCCTTGCTCCAAAGGGGTGAGACCAGTGGAGTATCTTAGATGGCTGCTCACAGGCTTTTAAGACCCCAGACGCTGCTCACCAAGGTGGAATGTAGAACATTGTCTTTATAAACAGTGTTATGCCAGTTGAGCTACATGTTCTCCGAGATTATGGTCCCCACAGCCCTCTGCCCTGCAATTCAGTCCCTCAGGGAGTTTGGATGTGTCTATGGAGCTTCCATGACCTTTCCTTGTACAAGTTGCATACAGCACATTTTTTAATGAAAAAGGTTACAAAGCAACATAAGTAAATAAAAGTGTATTTGAATATCTATACAGATTTTTTATATAACTAGTCTTTTAATAATGAACCTGTTTAGGTTGACTCACTTCTTCTTTATTACATACGGCGGTGCCTATCTATGTATATATATCTTTGTGCACATATTCCATGTATATAAAAGTCTGAAATGATATATATCAAATTGCCAACAGTAGTTTTCTCTGGGGAGAGTTTTGGCAACTTTTATTTCCTTATATGTCCATATATCTTAAGAAAATTCAGCAATGAACATATGCTTCATGTATTTGCTGTATTAAAAAAAGAAGGAAAGCAGGTAGGCCTCAGCTTATTGTAAGGCATAGGCGACTTTCTGTTTTTCCATACTAGGGGTCCGGATAATCAGCGTCTGTATTTTTGAAGAATGTGGTATGGTACTGCCCTTCTCAGCAAGTAATGTACTTAATGACTCAGAACGCTTCAGAGTTCTGTTACCACATTGTGAATGTGAGATGGAATAAGTATCTCAGACAAGGGGTGATTTAAGATGTGTTGGCCTGAATCACTCTATCCTGATGTCGCAGGACTTTAAAGTGTTCTGTGTCCTGAGACTTCCTAGAGTTTCGAGGTGTTCACTGATGGGGCTAGAGCCCAGATCTTGTTTCCGTTAAAGTAATGGGTTATCAGCTCTTCCTCTCACTGCCCAGTAGTCCTCATTCCTAAGATGTTTTCTCCTCTGGAGTTGGAATTAGAGATAAAGCTCCAGGAGGTTGTATACTCTGCGTTTCCCCAGTTTGACTTTCTTGTTACACTTCGTTTTTTTCAGCAGGGATATTTTTCTTAACCTCAATCACCTTTCTAAGCTTTAGTTCACAGTTGTCTGTTAGGAGTGGAAGGGTCTTATAGAGGATTAGTGGAAAGTAGCATTTTGAGGTCAGATTATAAAAATCTTTAAAAGTGTAATGCCTTTGAAGTTTTATATTAGAGAGCCATTAAAAGTTTTTTTAAGTAGAGAAGTGGGGTTTCAGATTAATCTGGTTTGTATGTAGGATGGATTGAAATGGGAGTTATTGACAGTAGGTAGAGACAACCAACTACACACCAAGGGTGGCAGTGGGCAGGTGGTGGGTAGGGAGTTACCACATATGACTGATTAAGAATTGACATATTTCATATAGATAGAACTCTGTATATAGAAATGACTCTTTAGAAAAAACTGAGTACCTCAGTAGAAAAATGGAGCAGAAATTCAAATGGTCATTAAATACATGAAAAATATAAATTCATATTGATAATCAAAGAAATGTACCTTAAAACAGCAATGAGGTATGTTTTTGTTCCCTATCATATCAGATCGGGGGAAAAAACAAAAGAGTGATAGAACAGAATTGTTGAGGGATAGGGAGATAGTCTCATGCTGCTGGTGGATTACAAAGTTGATTCAGTTTTTCTGGATGACAACTTGGCAATATATATCAAAAACCTTTAAAAACTTTATACTCTTTGACACTAGCTACTTGTATGAATTTATAGGGAGTGAATGCAGGGGGTGTATGTATAAAGAGATTCGTTATAGCATTGTAATGAATGCTATAGTGGAAGTGCCAAGCGTCCACCTGTAAAATGCAATACTCTAGAGTCATTAAAAATGATGATGTACATCTATATTTATTGGTATGGAAACGTGTTCCGGAGAGGTTAAGTGAGAAAAGCAGATATTCACACAATCTGTATAATATGATTGCATTTTTTGAAAGATGGAATTCTGATTCATTAGTTTTGAGGAAGGGCCTGGCATCTGTTGTTAAAAGTTTTTCCCATTTCTGGTTTGCAAGCAAGTTCTGGAATGAACCATCCTGCATGTCATAGCCAGACATGTCTCCTTCCTTCGTCTTCCCATCTCTCTTCCTCTTATGTTTAGAAACTTACATTGGCCGCGTCTTTGCTACCAAATCAAATATACTTTGGTAGTGTGTGGTATACTTACATTTAACTTAAAAGAATTCAGTTATACACTGAGGGATGAGAGGCGAGCGTAGGGGAGAGAAAAGATTCTGTTCGCCTCATTGCCCTTTCTTTCTCCCCCAACTTTTTATATTAATTAGATTTTACCCTCCACTATCCCTGGAAAAAGTTTGCTAGAGAAACAAGACAGTTACTGCCTATTGATCTTCTAAGGGCCCATTTAAAAGCAATTGGTATAATTCTTGAAGGTAATTTTCTCTATTGGAGTTTGGCTTTTTGTGAATACTTTAGAATACCCCACTCCACCTGCCTTAGCCCAGCTTTTTTGAGGCTCCATTGTAAGTTTCTTCGCCTGGTCCCAACTGGGCCTGTCATCTTGTCATAGTCCTCTCATAGGGTGCACTTTCTCTCTCTCCATGCTTTCATAAACTTTGCAGAATTCCTCCTCTTTCCGCTTTAGTCTTGTGCCACCAATTTATTCTTTCTTCAGAGTAGCATCCCATGTCTCACCTGCTTTATAATATTTCCTTGAATTCACCAGCATATGTTGCTGTCTTCTCTTTTCTGAATTCCTCTAACAGTTTTTGTCTATATGCCTTAAGGTAACTTTTATATAAAGAGCCCTGGTGGCGGAGTGCTTAAGAGCTCAGCTACTAACCAAAAGGTTGGCAGTTCGAACCCACCGACTGCTCCAAGGGAAAAAGATGTGGTAGTCTGCTTCTGTAAAGATTACAGCTTTGGAAACCCTGTGCAGTTCTACCCTGTCATATAGGGTCACTGTGAGTCAGAATCAACTCCACCATGGCTACTGGGAACTCTTATACCCCTGTATAATAAAGGTAGACTTGTTTTATTGCCTCCTCTTTTCATAAGTAAACATTTTTCAAGGGCAGAGATGATGTTTCAGACCTTGTATTACCCCACAAAATTAAGCACATTGCTTTGGAGGTAGTAGGTATGCCTCAAATACACACTGAATTATCCACTCATAATTCATTTGAGGAAGTAGTTGTACCATAAAAACTGCCATTTTTTTCTTCTTGTCTTTAGATCATCCAGTCCTTGGTGTTTTTGCTGTTGGCTACACTTTTCAGTGCATTGACTGGTTTGCCATGGAGTCTTTATAATACTTTTGTGATAGAAGAAAAACATGGTTTCAATCAACAGGTAAAATAGACAATGCAAATATTCTCTTTTTATATATGAAGACCTTTTGTGTTTTTGTCTTCTGCTGGTAATAATTTACATATTACTTGCTATTTTTAGAACATGAATTAATTGAGAAAAGGAAATTGCAGATACGGTAAAGATTATGGTTTAGAGTCTTGCTGTAAAGACTCTTCTAGCATTAATGTCCCATGTTTTTCAGCTAATAACATTTAAGTGAGTTTATCTTAAACTGTAAAGTGCAAGACAATTGCTTATTGTCTTCAGCTACCTATTTTCATATAATATAGCCTCACTGCATGTTAATTTTAAAAGTTATTTTAATTATATATTCTTTGTATGCAGTTATTAGTTATTTAAAAAGCAAACCAAGTTTCTGGGTTTCTTGTGATGATGTTTTCTTTTTTTAGACCTTGGGGTTCTTCATGAAAGATGCAATCAAGAAATTTATTGTGACTCAGTGTATTTTATTGCCTGTGTCTTCGCTTTTACTTTACATTATTAAAATTGGGGGTGACTATTTTTTTATTTATGCCTGGCTGTTCACATTAGTTGTTTCTCTGGTGAGTGAAATCTTTTATCTTATTTTCTTTTACAAAAGTTCTTTGGTGAGATAACTGTGATTTAATCTTCATTAGCATGCTAACAGTTCTTAAGAAGTATAAATAGCTGCTCGTATAAATGCCTGTCTTGGTTTCTGCTTTTGGATATAGAAAGAGGAGGGTTGACTCTGATCAAAGAATTTTTTCTCTTTATGCTGATTTGAAGCTAGTTGTTAGTTACTTTTAATGATCCCGTTGTCAGGCAATTTTGTTTTATTTTTGGTCAGGCAGTTTTAAGTTGTACATTTTTGAGTTGCCACCAGAATGGATAACTAAGTTTGATAATTACTCTTGACTGACCTCAAGTGCCTAAAAATCATGAATGTTTTGAAGAGAGGATATATTTGAGGACACAAGAAAGATAGCATAAATTTATCCAGTTTTCTTCTGCCCACCCGCTTTGCATCTCCCCCTTTCTCCTTTTTCCCTTTCATTACCCCTTCTTCTGCATTCCCCACCCCTTCCTCTTCCCCCCTCCTTCCTTTACTTCTCCCTTTTCTCTTCCACTGCCACCTCTTCTGTCTCTTCCTTCTTCCTTCCCTTTCCTCTCTTTTTTCTCCATCACTTTTTTCCCTCCCTTGCATCTTCTTTTCCTTCTCTCTTTCCCATATTCTAAACTGCTTCACTACACAAACACTACTACACAATCAAATGGTCTGTTCACAACCCCCAGAAAATACCTGTCAGCTGTTGAGCTCCTTCAGTACACTGATGATGAGGTTTATTTTAATTACCGTGGTTTTCACTGCTTCACTTTCCACTGGTGGAATCAAGATCAGAAAATGGGCACTAACTGGATTTACAAGTATATGTTGTAAGGCGTATTGAAGTGAGAGGAAAGAGAGCAGGGGGAATCCTCCAAAACTACTTAAGGAAGTGCTGTTTCAACCAAAGTGTACAGTTGGGAACTACAGATAATTAATTTTAGCACACAAACCAACCAAGTACAGCCCATAGTCAAGCTCTGGGAATTCTGTTTTAGCAAAGACTTCAGGTCTATCATGATTACTCTGAAAGGCAGAATTGCAAGTTATGATGGGCTTAAGAAGTGTCAGAAATCCCCAAAATAAAAGCTGTAATTTTGTAAGGACCATTTGACTTTTCAATTATTACCACCTAGAGATCTTAAACACTAGCATTACCCCTAAAATAAAATTAAGGTTTACTGTGTTACCGGATTACTCAATTTGATTTATCAGACAGATATTGAGCACTTGTTGTTGTTAGGTGCCATTGAGTCAGTTCCGACTCATAGTGACCCTATGTACAACAGAACGAAACACTGCCTGGTCCTGCACTCTGGTACTATTTGGTAGTATTTGGGGCTGGGAATACCAGAGTAAATAAGAGAAGTTCTCTGTTCTCAAGGACGGATGGGGCAGACAGTTGTTTTAATAATAAATCTTTGTAATAGTGAGTAGTTTTTCTTTAAGAACATATTCATAGATTATTCTGACATTTACTTTTCAGGTGCTTGTCACAATCTATGCAGATTATATTGCTCCTTTATTTGACAAATTCACACCTCTGCCTGAGGGAAAGCTGAAACAAGAAATTGAAGTAATGGCAAAGAGTATTGACTTTCCTTTGACTAAGGTATATGTTGTTGAAGGTAAGCTACATCAGAGTAAGAAGGTTTTATTTGAGTAGTTTGTTTTATTTGAGTACTTTATTCTTAGAACATGTTTTAGTTATTTAGTGCCTCTATAACAGAAATACCACAAGTGGGTGGCTTTAACCAACAGAAATTTATTTTCTCACAGTTTGGGGGCTAAAAAAAAACAAAAACCAAACTCATCGCCGTTGAATCAATTCCGACTCATAGTGACCCTATACGACAGAGTAGAACTGCTCTATAGGGTTTCCAAGGAGTGCCTGGTGGATTCGAACTGCCGACCTTTTGGTTAGCAGCCAAACTCTTTAACTACTACACCATTAGGGTTTCCTAAAAAAAAAACCCGTTGCCGTAGAGTCAGTACTGGCTCACAGTGAGTGACTGTATAGGACAGAGTAGAACTGCCCCATAGAGAGTTTTGGCTCTAGGGGAAAGCTTTCTCTCTGTTGGCTCTGGAGGAAGGTCCTTGTCTCTTCTGAGCTTCTGCTCCTGGACAGTCTTAATGTGGCTTGGCATCTCTCTTCCCCCATCTCTGTTCAGCTCACTTGTTTAATCTCTTTTGTATCTCAGTTTGACTAAAGATACATCCAACACTAATCCTGCCTCATTAACGTAACAAAGACAACCCATTCCCAGATGGGATTCTAACCACAGGCGTAGAGGTTAGGATTTACAACACATATTTTGGGGGGATGTAATTCAGTCTATAACAGAACATAAATGATGAATCAGTTTTTGTATTTTTTTTTTAATTTATTATGTAAACATTAGGATTTTACATTTTGAATTTTAAAGATTTATAGGAATCGATGACATCATCCAGGGATAGAAACTGATGGTCTGATGCCAAATCCTGCTCTTGCCTGCCTGCAGCTATATTTGGTTGGCTTCACAATATTGTTTTTCATTTTTGGCCAAGGCCTTTGTCACTTCCTATTTTACTGTGTTGCACATTAGACTGATTTATTCACTTTGTTAACTGCCTGGCTGGCACCTTTAGGTAACTGAGTTGGACTCTTGAATAGTCAAGTTCCATTTAGGACTAGTTTGGCTTTGTCCCCTCCAACAAAATGTCCAGTGTTCTGGGGGACTCAGATTTCATCTTCAGAGTAGTTATACTCTGCTTTTTCGATGATTGCTTTTGAGAACTAAGCTGTCTCTTAACTTGCATAAGACTATTAAAGTTTCAAGGAAGCCTTCAATGATGTAGAAAAATTGTAGTAAGTTACCATGAATTTCTAATTGTTAAGTTAAAATTCGTATAAATGACGGTTCTGCCTTTGCCACTTACTAGCTGTGGGATCTTAAACAAATAAATCCATTCACCCCTCTGGGTTTCAGTTTTGCTTCCTCTAAATCACAGCTCGGCAGATTTTTTTTTCTTTAAAGGGCCAGATAGTAAATATTTTATGCTTTGTGAGCTATACAATGCCTGTTGCAACTGTTCGACTGTGCCATTGTAGTGCAAAAGCAGCCGTAGACAGTACATAAACAAATGAGCATGGCTGTGTTCCAGTGAAACTTTATTTGCAAAAACAAGCTATAGGCCGTATTTGGCCTGCATGTTGTAGTTTGCCAACCCCTGCTCTAAACTAAAAAATTACCAGTGTGAAGCAGCTCTACTGGATAAAGGAGTAAAATCTGAGAAGTAATTGCAGAATCAAAGGAGAACAGAGATGGTCATAAGTGGAAAGGATGAACTAACAGCATCTAGAAGAGTATAGAACTCAGACATTTAGTGTTTCTGAGGGTATAACAGCCCAACTAAAAGCACAACTGAAATAGCTCAACATTCTGTGGGGAGCTGGTAGAAGAACAAGTTAATTCATTCTTCTTCAGCCTCTGAAATCACTGCTCTGTTTTAGGGTAATTTAAGCTAATAGCACACTAATCAATGCAACGGAAGAACTCTAAGGGGCTTTTACTGAAGGGGCAACCTAAGTTGCTGATCACTTAAGTTATATTCTGATAACATGAAACAACACATAATGATATGATAGTAGAGATAATTGATAAAATGTGTGGTGTATACTATTTTGATTTTGGATGAAATAGAGAAAGCTTTATGGAGGGTTGTGAAATGAGCTTTATGGAAAATCAAGACTTGAGTAGGTGGAGGGTAGCATTTCACATATAAGGCTTTGGGGTCAGATAAACTTCGATGTGAATGCTAGCTCTGCAATGAACTATCTGTGTGACTTTGGGCGACTTACCTTTGCTAAACAGCAGTTTAGTCATCTGAAATGGATGTTTTTATTGTAGGTGATAATAGTAACTACCTTCAAAAATATTTTAAATACGTGAGTGTTGTTACTAGCGTAGCAACACAGATTACAGACTTGTCAATTGCTGGGGATATTGTGAAAGTCCAACATTTCTGCTTTAAAAAAAAATTGCGAGTGCTGTGCAGAGAATTAAACTAGTGTGATGTGATGACGAATGACTGAGTGGATACTTTAGATTGGATCATCAGGGGAGATCTCTGAGCAGGTGACATTTAAGCTGAGACCTGAATGAAAGGCAGGAGCCATCCATGCTGAGATCAATGGGAACACCTTCCAGAGCTCGGCATATTCAAGGAACAGCAAGAGAAGGGCATAAGATGAGGTCTGGGACGTAGGCAAGAGTCAGATCATGTAGGCAGGGTAAGGAGCTTGGGTTTTAAGTTTAGTGAGAAAAGCCACTGGACATTTTAAGCAGGAAAGTGATGTGGTCTGGTTTGGTTTTTAAAATATCGTGGGCTTCTATGTGGAGATTGTAGGCAGAGGCAGGAGTAGAAGCAAAGAGAGCAGTTAGGAGGCTGTTGCAGTAGTCCAGGTAAGAGATAATGGTAGCTTAGACTGGGACAATGGTACCTGGATGGAGAGAAGTGGATGCATTTGGGATATGTTTTAGAGGCAAAGTTGGTGGGGTTTGCTAGTAGATTACATCTGAGGGAATAGAAAGAAATCAAGAATAACTTCTAGATTTTTAGCCTGAGCAGATGGATAAGTGGTAGTTTACTGAGATGGAAAACTACAGGAAGAGCAGGTTTGTGGGGGAATTAAGAGTTTTCTGTTGGATGTGTTACATTTTGAGATACCCGTTAGACATTGTGCTAGTCAGGATTCTGCAAGCAATAGTTAGTTGCAAGCAATAGAAACCAACTGTGGCTGATTTAAGAAGAAAAAAACTGCTTATTGAAACAATATTTGATAGCTCACAAAATTGCCAGGAAAGTTAAGTTCACCAAGCTTAGAAAATAGGCTGTTTCAAAAGGAGACTAGGAACTCAAAATCACATTGAAGGACCAGGCTGGTGAGGACACTGTTGCTGCCACTCGGAACGCTGATTCAGCCATTTGCAGTCTTGCCATCCCTGCTGCTAACACCCCCGAATTAATTCCTCACTGCTCTGCTTCTTTGTGCAGTCGGCCAACTCTGCAGACTCCCTATGTGTGCATCTGGCTGACTAAGCCAGGGCGCATGCCTGTGTCCTAGCTGCCAGCAGTGCTGGGGAAGCAATATCTAGCTTTCTTGGCTTCTCAAATGAGAAGGGGTCTCTCACAAGACTTACATGGTATCGTATTTCCTAAACTCTGAAAGGAGATTCTGATACTGGGCAGGAAAAGAAACCACACACAAGCATGCAAACAATAAATATGCACTCTAGACACCCATGTAGAGATGTCAAATAGGCAGTTGGATATATGAGTCTGGAGTTCTAAGGAGACAAAGCTAAAGATAAAGGTTTGGAAATATTTGGCACTTAGGTGGTGTTTAATGCAATGGATGAGAACACTTAGAGCAGAGAAGGGGGCCCAGGTCAGAGTCAGCAGGGGGAGGAAAAGCCAGCTTTAGAGGCTTGAGGAGGCGGGACCATTGAGGTTGGAAGAAAACAAGGAGAGAGTGGTGTCCCAAAAGCCAGGAGAAGAGTGTGTTTGAAGGAGAGAATAGTCAACTGTGCCAAATGCTGCTGAGAGGTTAAGATGAGATATCATGAACAAAAGATGAAAACAGATGGCAATACCTTACATTCACCTAGAACACTTTGATATTTCTCAAATACATTATTTCATTCCTCAAGTGGTATCATTACCATTTAGTAAACAAGCATTATTGAATATATACTACGTGCCAGACAGGAAAGCTTATACAAAAAGCTTCCAGTCTAGTCTAGGGACTCTTAAAGTTTAGTGAGTATAAGAATCCCTGGAGAGTTTGTCAAAAGACAGCTTCCTGGGCTCCATTCCAGGTGTTTCCAGTATCAGCTTCTAACAAGCACCCTTAGTGATTTTGGTGCGGGCCTATTTAGATCACACTTTTGAGATACTCTAGACCTCAGAATGATACACAGCTTTCCAGATCCTAAGATTCTATATTACTGACAAAATTGGACTGCATGTTTGGCTCTTAACTTCCAGGCAACCAAACCAAAAAGAGATAATAACAATAAATAAATAAATAATAGCTACTATTTATCAAGGCCTTACTATATTTTGGAGCACTGGTGGCGCAGTGGTTAAGAGATCGACTGCTAACCAAAAGGTCGGCAATTCAAATCTACCAGCCACTCCTTAGAAATCCTATGGGGGCAGTTCTGCTCTCTCCTATAGGGTTGCTATCAGTTGGAATCGACTTGATGGCAGTGGGTTTGGTTTGGGTTTTACTATATTCTAGATACAATGCCAAGTACCTTAAATTAGAAATATGAATAAATACACAATTCACGTTTTCTGTGAGAAATCTCAAATTCTCAAAAGAAACGTTTTATCATTTCTTTTTTTAAAAAGTATATAATAGTAGTAGTTTACATGGACCAGGCAGTATGCTAATTGCTTTACTTAGACTATCTCGTTGTCATTAATCAGACTCAATGAGGTAGATAGCCTTGTTTCATAAAAAGGAAACTAAAGAAATTAAAGTTGCCTAGCTTTATACAACTAATGAATTATAGAGCCAGGATTTGAACCCAAAATCTCTGCTCTTGATCACTACATTCAACTCAGTGTACATTGTACAACATTTAGAAAATGAAGGAAAATATAAAGACAAAAATAAAAATCAACCATAGTTTAGCCATTGTTAACCGCTGTTAAACATTTGGGTATGCTTTCTTCCGTCTTTTTTCTTTTTTTTAAATAACTTCAGTTTGTTTCTAATTATATAAGTAAATACGCTTATTTTAACAGCCTTGGAAAAGAGAGAAAAGAATAAAGGAAACAAAATAATCTATAATTACGGAACCCAGTGATAATCACTTTAATATTTTTATGTATTAATAAGCTTGCTTTTCTGCATACATGTACATTTTTTTCTTGACAGTAATGGAATCTTATACTCACAGCTTTGTATCCTTCATAGTATGTTGGTGAGCATTTTCTTATCTTGTTAAAATTCTTCCAAAGTGTAGTTTTTTTCTGGCTGCATAAAATTCCATTTCATAGCTTTACCACAATTTAATCATTCCATTACTGTTGGATATTTAGGTCTTATTTATTTACTTATTGCTATAAGGAATACTGTGATGAGCATAAATATTTGCTGGCAAGGCTGCAAGGAAATATATGCTCTTTACTGCTGGTGGTAATTTATGTTGAAACAGGTTTTATTCAGGTATTATAAAAAACTTGAAAATGTTAATGTCCTTTCCAGTGATTTAATATCTGGGAGTCTCTCCAAAGGACCCCAAACATTTTAATTATTCTCCATGCTTTGAATTGTCGTTTCCTTAGGATCTAAACGCTCTTCTCACAGCAATGCTTATTTTTATGGCTTCTTCAAGAACAAGCGAATAGTTTTGTTTGACACTCTACTAGAAGAGTATTCTGTTCTAAACAAAGATATCCAGGAAGAATCTGGCATGGAACCCCACAGAGATGGAGAAGGAGACAGTGAAGAAATAAAAGCCAAAGTTAAAGTGAGTTCTTTTCCTAGGAGACTCTTGCTTGGTTTTTATAAACAGTTCTATGACAACTCAGAACATCAGTTTCTACATAGTGAATGTCGAATTCAGGGAGACTATCAAATAAAAACACCATGCCTGCTTTATAATTCTGGTATTTGGGTGGGATTACCACTATTATCACATGCTAACTACTTTAAGCAAGACATTTTAATTTCTCAGTTTTGTTTTTTTTTTTTCCATCTCCAAAATAAAAATGGTACTTCCCATCCTGTCCAGCTTGGTGTTGTGAGGATCAAATGAGGTGGTGTATGGATTTTATAAATGGGAAAGTGCTATAGAAAAGTAGAAAATGGGTGGTATTTATTTCTGCTCTTTTATGTGAAATTAGTATGGGAAGAAAAGAAAATCTAGGTCTATCGAAGACTCACAATTAAGCAAGTCTCCTTCCTGTGGAGGAAACCTTGGTGGCACAGTGGCTAAGAGCTACAGCAGCTAACCAGAAGGTTGGCAGTTTGAATCCACCAGGTGCTCCTTGGTCGCTGTCCTATAGGTCGCTATGAGTCGCAATCGACTCAGCAACGGATTTGGGTTTTTTTTTTTTTTTTGTATTCCTTTGGAAAATGATCCTTGTTTAAGTTCTTTTCATTCTGTATCAATGTATCTTTGACTGTGACTCCTATGTTGTTCTAAATAGCTTCCTAAACCCAGATGTCAAACCAGGAGACAAGAGTTTATGTAAGCTATCTAACGGAGAACTGGTTGTTTTAAAAAATAAAGCAACAGATTAGTACAGATTAGAAAGCAGATAACCAGCAAAAACAGAAGCCTAAGGGCCGTGTTACTTTATGTAAAATGATATGTAGTATCTGCCTTTTAGTAGTGAAGATTAATGAACTGTATGTAAAATGCTTAGTACTTATGGTGTCTAGTACATAGGACATTAGTACATTAGTACATTAGTGAGTGGGAGCTATTATTATTAAGTAAAAATATGTTATATTTTTGCTTATTACTTAAGTAATATATTCCAGAATAGAAATTTTAGAAATCATCAATAACAAAAATCATCAATGATCCAGCTGCCCATAAACGTCTTACTATATGTATTTCTAGTCTTTCTAAACTATCGTTTTTTTTTTTCATTATTCTCTTAGCGGATATGTGGAATGTTTCCAGTTTTTTGCTGCAGTGAATATCTTTGTAGGTAAACCTTCAGGTGCATCTCTTAATTTTCCTCTTAGAATAGATGTTTATTAATTGGTGCTTTAATTAATTTAAAAGAAAAAGATATATAAAAGGATATTTGTTGTAACTTATTCAGCATTTTTAAGTGTTTATAAGGAAAGGATTTTTCAAACTGTCTAGTTGGTAATAATGCCAGAAGAGATGTTGAGAAGTGTGTGCATGTGTGTGTGTTGGTGACTGAATATGTGTGTGCAGATATGAATGTGTGTATAAGAGTAACTTGTTCATTGTACCTTGACACTGTCTACATTGAATCTGGAAAGTTTATAAGCAGAAAGTATTTTATTTGGCTTTGTAAGCATTAGACTTCATCATTTATATGACCACTGACCATTTATGTTTAGTTTTTTTTTTGCAGTACAGTAGTAATATGCAAATGATCACAGATACGTAAACTAAAATTGTTTAGTTGATTTGTTTCATGATTGTTGAATAGTTTACTTTTAGCCTTCATAGTCTGTGTAAAAGTTGAAAGCACAGGTCTCTGGCAACAGGCTACTTGGCTTCATATCCCAGCTTCTCCACTTATTATCTGTATGGCAATACGCAAATTAGTTTAACTCTTTGTGCCTTGGTTTCATCTTTAAGGTCGGGGTGGCTGTGATATATAAATGAGATAATAAATATAAGATATTTAGCACACAGAACCTGTGTTTAATAATGTGTTAGCAGTTTTTGTTATTTTTTCATCATTCCTGTCCCAGTCTTCATATGTGTTGGAAAAAAAAAAAGAAATTATATGTCTGTGTGTATTTCTGTTTTTATATGATATTGGTTTGAGAGGTTACACTAAAATTAAGGAAGCAGAGCTCTAATAAATTTTAACATTAATTTTTACTTATTAAAGTAATATAGCTACATTGTTTAAGATTTCAGAGTACAAAAACAGCTTATAATAAAATATAGCAGTTTTCTGTTCTTCTCTTCCCCATGCTTCCCACCCCCTGCCAGTCTCCTCTCCTCAGATTTCAACTTTCAGCTCCTTCTTCCGACGTTTACACATGTCCACATTTCTAAATAATATATGTATACTACTCTCTATTGACATTAGCTACTGACTTTCAGTTATGGTAGATGAGAACTTAGTTCTTTTCTCCTACTCTCCTCTGCTTACCCCTCCCCCAATTCTTCTGACATAGTCATGTTACAATTTTTGGTTTAATCAGTATTCAGTGTTTACATTCTTGTACCTATGTAATTATTACTCACTGCCGAGCGTGCTTAAGCATTCTCCCTCCTATTTAATAATTATTTTGGGGTTTTTGTTTTTTATGTTCTTAGTTTTCTTCGTAACTTTTTGCCAATTTTTCCTACAACTTCCAGTAACTCTCAAAGTAATTTTCTGTAAGGTTAATTGTATCATCAACCTTATCAATTTCAGTCCCCTGCCCTATCCCTCCCACCTCTGGGAAAGATCTTTATTCTCTTTTTCTTTGGAGCAGTTACTCTGTAGTCCCATTCGACACCTCTCATGTGAGACTTCCCTTTGTGATCATCCTTGATATTCCTTTTGCTTTTCTTCTAGTTTGGAATCCGTGTTTTCCTTTTTGTTGCTTTATTCCCTTCTCTTGGTGATGTACACCTTCCAGTAGTTGCATCAGGTTAAAAAGATGGTACAGTGACAGAAGGAGCATGATGATGGCAGCCCTCAACAGACTGTCTTTTGAGTCTCACTGTTTAAATCTGGATGGGTTACTCTCTGTATCTGGTATACAGTTGTCATTCCAGGATTGCCCTTTACTATTATCCTAGAGACTCCCTTCATTTCTCTCCTGTATTGGATCTCCTGTGTTCTGTATTCCATGTCTCTCTGTTCCTTGATTTATTCCTTCATTTTGGTAGGGGATGTCTTCCAATATCTTCCTGAGAAGGGTTGCATAGTTGGTAAATTTATTTGAGTTCTTGCACATCTGAAAATATCTTCATTCTTCTGTCACACTGGCTTGCTACTTTGGCTGGAGTATAACTTTCTTCAGGATTGTGAAGAAGTTGTTCTCTTGTTTGCTCGCTTCCAACATTGCTGATGAATGTCTGAAGTCATTCATATTATTGATCCTTAGTATGTCACCTGTCTTTTGCTCTTCTAGAAGCTTGTTGAATTCTGTCTCTGGCTCAGTGTTCTGAAATTTCACACGTCTTGATGTAGGTCTGCTTTCATCCATTGTGCTAGGGATGCACTGAGTCCTTTTAATCTGGAAGCTGTGGTTCTTTGGTTCTAGGAAACTTTCTGGATTATTTTGTTAATGATTTCCTACTCTCCATTTTTTCTATTCTCTTTTCAGAAATCCTATTATTTCAATGTTGGATTTCTTATACAGGCCCTGTAACTTTCTTACCTTTTCTCTCCTGTCTTTCACTTCTTTATCTTTTTGTTCTACTTTCTAGAAGATTCCTTCCTTGTCTTCTAATCCTATTGAGTTTTAATTTCCAAGAGCTTTTTTCTTTCTCTGAGTTCTTTTTTTACAGCAACCTCTTGTTTTTCCACGGATGCAGTATCTTAACGCACTGAAGATATATTTTTTTCCTAAATTTTCTCCGTATATAATTTATGTTTCTTCCAAGTTGCTTTTTTTTCTGAGTCTGATCATCCATCTCAGTAGTTTACCTCATATAGCTGGTAATCTTTGGTTGTCTGCTCCTTAGTAAGAGAATGTTCCTTCTGCCATCTTAACTTGGAAGTCTCAATTTTTAAAATGGCACTTCATGGTGTATGTTTTTGGATCATAATTGATATGTGCTTATTTATAGATAATTTAGAAAATAGAAAAGGTATAAAATAGTTAAACATTACTATAGTTCTATCATAGAGATAACCATTATTAACATTTTGATACACTTCCAGTCTGCTTTTTATATTTTTATATATACATTTACACTTTTCTTAATTGGAATCATACATTTAATTTTGTTTCCTGCTTTCTTCAGCCCAGTATGCCATTTTCCCATGTCAGAACATAATCTTTGAAAACATTTCTAATGGATTATAACATAACTGTTATTTGACTGTATCTATGTCAGCAGTTTCTCATGTCAGAACATAATCTTTGGAAATATAATTTCTAATTGGTGTATAATATGGCCGTTATGACTTTGTCATGATTTATATAATTGTCCTATTGATAAAGATTTATATTTTTTCTAGGTTTTTTTTTTTTTTGAAACTAGATTAATCTAGACTCTAAGCTTCATGAAGTCAGGGAATGCCTTTCTTGGTCTTTATTATATTTGTAATGCTTAACACAATGTCTGGTAGGGAGTACTGATTCAGAGAATGTTTTGTTAAGTAAATGAACCGTTTTTTACTAAAATCTGATTTTTTCCTTCAGGTAGACTCTAAGAAAGGATATTACTGGGTTAAGAGATACAAACTTTTTGATGGTTTTTGATAATTTATTTTCAATTTGTTCTCTGATTCAGAATAAGAAACAAGGATGTAAAAATGAGGAGGTGCTTGCTGTACTAGGTCATGAACTGGGGCACTGGAAGTTGGGACACACAGTCAAAAATATCATTATTAGCCAGGTAAGTTTGGGGTAATAATTATTTTTTTATGGCATGGTAGTCAAATTAGAGAAGTAATATAGTAGAGAGGTAGAGATAACTCCAAGGCCAGGCTAACTGGCTTCACACCTTGGCTCCCCAATTACTACTTTTGTAACCTTGGGCAAGGTCGTTCTCTTCTCTCTGCCTGCATTCCCTCATTGAATGATCATACCTCAGAGGTCTATTGTAAGGATTAAATGAGTTAGTATATGTAAAGAGCATATAGTAACTTATTGTTGTTATCACCATCATCACTATCACCTCCAGAGTCACTCAGATATAGAAGTTTTGAAATCAAAAAGAGAGCCTAATAGCACATTAGAATGCTTTTTTAAAAACATTTTATTTATTTATTTATTTTTCATTTAAAAGTAGTTATTTGTCCATGGAGAAAAGTGTAGGAAATAACAATTCCTACATCATTCCTGCCTTGGGTGTTACTACCTCTAAGCCAATAGAGTGACTACAGTTTTCAGGCTGTGGGTGAAATAGCACTATATATTGTTGGCTGATTCTGAGCATGTGTGGCCTTAACTGAGTCTTAAGTGGGTCTTTGTACATTTCTAAAAGACTAGTTGATTCTGGATGATGGACCACATGGGAAGACTTGTGAACCCATATGGGCATTTTCCTGTTGCCTTACATCTTTAGGTGTAAAAATGAATTCCTTGGCTTGAAGCTGTGCTGTATGGATACATGGCAGTGAATAAGACATTAAATAAGTCCAAATTCTAATTCAAAGTAAGTATTCAGATTAATAAGGAAAATCACTGTCCCTTCCATGAACAGAGGGTTCCAGTGAACTCAGCCTAGCACAAGGTACCTGTAAGGTGTGGTACCTTATCAAGGCTAGGGTTGATTGCCTCTTCTGACAGATTGGGCACGTGGCAGGAGACAATGGAGAAAGGGCTATGTTGTTGACATTCACTCCATCCCTGTCACCTTGCCCACTTTGTTCATGAGTTCCTTGACCAAATCCTGGTGTGGCTCGGGAAAGAGTCTGGCTTACATCCACAGGACAGATATCTTCTCCACCTGATCATTGAGCACCTCCTCTACCATGGGGTCTTTTGGTGAACATTCAAAGTATTATCACAGTCTAAGCTAACTTTGAAAAGTCTTTTGACATACCTCCTTTTCAGATCTCCTTGTCTGCCATCCTCTGGTTTCTTCCAAAGCCCTGATCATCCAGGCAAACCATTATTTGCTGACTGCCAATGATAAGTACAGAGCCTCAGCTCAGGCCCACTCTCCTTCCAGACAGAGTTGACAGTGAGACAGACTACTTAAGGTTCACCATACTGAGAGTACTTCCCTTCTCCACTGTCTTTTAGGACCATCCCTGAGTGGTACTGTAATGCCAAAGCAGTCCACTTTCAGCTGGTACCAGCATATTGTGTAAAGTTATTTGTAAAATATGCTCAAATTTTTTCCTCCTCAGGTAAATGATTATAGAGAACTCCCCGTGAGTATAGATTGAGGTGTGGCAGAGTGGCGGGAGTTGGCATCCAACGAGTATGAGCCACCTGCTCATGTAACTTCACCCTTCATGGCCTTCTTTATTACCAGTCCTATATATACCACTTAAACTTAATGATGACAAGAGTACCCCTGAGCATCCCAGTTTCCTAACTAGGTGAATCAATATAGCATTCAATTCAGGAAAGCAGCTCAGGTCACAGGATCATGGTGTGCTGTGGTCAGGAATTCAGTCTCTCCTAGGGCTCAGTAGCCAACCAAAAGTTATTTTCCGAAAGTAGAATGGTTGCTTGATGAAAATGACATGCATAGCTTTGCTCCAAAACCCTTGGGGGCCTTCACTGTGAGTTTTCTACTGGGGCTTGCCATATTGGATCCACTGAGTTATAAGTGCTGGGTTGCAGAGCTGCTTGTACTTCATCCTGGGTCAGCTGGAGAACCTTCTTCTGCTCTGAGCCCCATATAAGCTGGTAACTCTGAGTCACCTGGTAAATGGTTTTGAGCAGCACACTTATGGCATATGTGGCCTCCAAAATCCCAATCTGCTAAGGAAAAAGGATGGTCTTTGTTGTTCAACTTTACTCCAAAGGATCATATTTTGGTATTTTAGTACAGACTTGATTTTTTTTTTTTCTCTCATGCATTGATAAAGATAGATCTACTATTTTATTGGCCTTTCCTAACTATTCAGTACAGCTTCAGTGGCCCTAAAGGGAATTCAGAGGAGCCTCCACAACAAGGTCAGGTGAGAGACCTTGTGTCAGATTATGGTCTTACGTGAACAAGGGCCATTCTAACCCTTTAACTTGTAACAGGAAAAAAATCCTATTGCTATGGACTACCTCAATCACAAGAGGCTCAACCTAAGCCTGTCCCTATAGAAAATTATACAGTTTACAGATAGAGTGGAAAGACACTGCATATGCATATAAATTTTATTTTCCTTTCTAGAATAAAAGTGAAACTATAAAGCTACCTATGTAACTTTTTCTGTGGTCACACTAAAACCACGGTTAAAATCACACCATGAGTTCTTGTTCTGCTTTTTTTGTACTGCTGATCCCACAATGAAATCAGCTTAGTAATAACTTAGAAATTTTGTACCCTTCTTTCTAGATGAATTCTTTCCTGTGTTTTTTCTTGTTTGCTGTATTAATTGGTCGAAAGGAGCTTTTTGCTGCGTTTGGTTTTTATGAGAGTCAACCCACTCTAATTGGACTATTGATCATCTTCCAGTTTGTTTTTTCACCTTACAATGAGGTAATGTATAATCTTTAAAATTATCTCACGTATGTCCTTGCTTGTTTCAAATCTAGAACCTGTAGGGTGGTGAAAAAAGAAATAAACAAAGCTGTATAGTTTCAACAAAAAGATGAAACTAAGTCTTTTAATCCCTTGATGGACTAGCCAATATAGAAGATGGCAGAAAAATCCAAACCCCAATAAACAAATATTTTACATACTGTTAAGAGAAAAGAAAGTGGACAATTAGACTTTAGTGATGAAAACCTAGATATCACATGTATCTCAAGAGACTTGGTAGATGGAGCTTAACTATTGCAGTGCTAGCCCCTCGGCCCATATTCACCAATGCTTGGGTGATGTATTAGTTTCCTAGGGCTCCTGTAACAAATTGCCACAGGCTCTGTGGCTTAAAACAACAGAAACTTACTGTCTCACAGTTCTGCAGCCTAGAAGTCGGAATTCAGGGTGTCAGCAGGGCCATGCTCCCTCCTAAGATCCTTGGTCTCTCCCAGTTTCTGTGAGCCCCAGGTGTTTCTTGGCTTGTGGCAGCAAAACTCCAATCTCTGCCTCCATCCTCACATGACTGTCTGCCCTGTCTGTCTCTGTGCCTGTTCTTATAAGGGGACCTGTCATATTGGATTAGGACCCACCCTGTTCCAGTATGACCTCATGTTAATTTAACTATTACATCTGCAAAGACTATTTTCAAATAAGATCACATTCATTCACAGATGGGGAGTTACTACTTGAATGTATCTTTTTGGGGGTACAAAACCCATAACAGATACATCTGTGTGTGTGAGATGACAAAACAAATAATAATTGTGTATATGTGTGGCTAGATAAGGGAGACTATGACAGTGTTCCTCAGATTGTGTTCTCAAAATAGCCTTAGGATCCTACCCCAGACTAAATCAGAATTGGGCATATTATATTACTGAAGTTTAAGAAGCACTGCTCTGATAGTTCATTAGGGGGATTCCGTATGTGTGATAAGGCATGGGCTAATGAAACTGTATATTAACAAATCTGACAATGGCACCATTTCATGATATTTGGTAAGCCTTCCAAATTAAGCCAAGAAATAAATTACAGGGATCTTAAGGTATCTCCATTTAGGAGAATTCTTTCTTGGGACAGTTGTGGAGTTAAGGTTTTAAGATGAGTTAAATGAATCCCATTTCTCCTTTAAAAAAAAAAAAAGGGAGTGGGGAGTGGGCACTAGGAAAGAAAAATGGAGAGATCATAGTTGTATAGCATTGTCCACATAAACTAAAATTTTCCAGAGAACTGAGAATTATCATTTTTAAACTCTGAAATTTTTCATTTTTAACTTTTATTGAAAATATTTATAAAATGCCTTACAGTTTGTTACTGCTTAAAACAGAGAATGAAGAACCCCTGTTGTCATTGTCTCCTACCACAATTTAGCAATGTCCCGAGCATACTGAGCTGTATATATTAATGACCTTAGACTTTAAAGCTGTTCTGCTTTTTTTTTTTTTTTTTTTTTTAATATTCTTGTCTCTTTCCTTACTGTCAGGCTGATAATTCTTGTTACTATCAGTGTCACTTTCTGTTATAATCATTACCCCTTTCTAATTTTCTTCTTTAATCTGCCATGGACTGGGAAATGAGAACCAACCTCACACTACGTAAGAGTTACACGGTTCTGACTGGGTAGAAGGTCTTTTTATTTGTAAAGGCATGAGCAGCATTAGTGCCAGTTCTTTGTGGCGTCTGATTTGACTGTTCAGAGGATTTTTTGTTTTGTTTGTTTCCATGTATTCAGTAGTTGAGTTCATGTCCAAAAAAATGTCTAAATAATTGAGGTATTAAAGTAATTTAAAATGTGATTAATCCACAGAGATACTAGCAACTGTTATAAAAAGCTTGGAGAGCCCAGGAGAGATGTCTCAAAAAGACTAGATATTTAAGCAGAAAATCTTTATGTTTAATGTCAGAGTCTAAAATGTCATGATGGGAAAGAGACATTTTCCTGGGGAAAATGGGAAAATTGACCTGTTAGGAAGAGTTTGGAAAACTACAGCAGAGCAAATTGGTGCAAATTAATAGATTAATATCTGTTTATATTTTTATTTATGAGTTAACAGTGAGATTCAAAGAATGGTTTGCCTGGGACACAAAATCAGGAATTAAAGATAGAAGAGAGAGAGAGAGAAACTAATTGATAGATTGGTCAGCACAGCTAAAATCCATGGAACCAGTTAATGTCTCTATCTCAAAAAGTATATTCAAGATTTGAAAAAGAAATTGCAGCCAGAATTCAGTTATTAGCTCTGAACTTATCTGAGAAGGTATCAGGGACTCCCAGACTTTATTTTGAAACTCTGTATTTGCTAACGACAATAAGAAGTGCAAATGAAAGGTTTGTTTGTTTTTTTATGCTTAAGTATTTTAAGATAAGAAACAGATGACATTTAACCTGTAGTTCGTCAGTATGCAAAGTAATGGTTTTTCCCTCAGAATTTATATTTCCAAATGAAACGTGTCCCCTTTGTCATTGGGAACTGTATGCTTATTCTAGTGATGCTGCCATAGCTTAAAATACTCTGGAAAATTCTATTTTGAAATTGTTGATAGAGGCTATGGCATATTTTTTTAATATTCTCAGTGAAGACTGACTGTCATTATCCTTTAAGGGTAGATAAGTAATCAATAGTGTTTTTTTAAAAGAAAAAATAGGGTCTAAATAAAAATTACCACAACTTACCGCTAACTCTGAGGGAAGTGGTGGGCATGGGCTTGAAGTCACAGAGACTCTCAGCTGTACCACCTGCCAGCTGTGTGACCTCAAGCAAGTTATCTAACCTCTCTGAGCTCCATTTGCCTCATCTTGTAAAATAGGAGTAAGTCCCTGGAACTTGGCAGATTCTCAAAAATTGGTATTTTTTTGTAAGGATAACATTCATTATTATTATCATTCTTTATTGTTCATATGTGTTGCTGGTGTCTTTGGGAGAAAGAAAAAGGCTCAATTTATAATAATTCCCTCATAAGCCTTGGGTTCCCTAAGTGTCAGTAGTCTTTCTTTTGGCGTGCTTTTTCTCTTATCCTAAGCTGAATTCCCTCTGTACTCTCAGCTCATGAAATCGTCAGTGACAACAAAGAGGTGTGCAGTGGTTAAAACTCTTCGTTTATTTTTCCAGGTTCTTTCTTTTTGCCTAACGGTTTTAAGCCGCAGATTTGAGTTTCAAGCTGATGCATTTGCCGAGAAACTTGGGAAGGCTAAAGACTTATATTCTGCTTTAATCAAACTAAACAAAGATAACTTGGGATTCCCTGTTTCTGACTGGTTGTTTTCCATGTGGCATTATTCTCATCCTCCTCTATTAGAGAGACTTCAAGCTTTGAAAAATTCAAAACAAGACTGACATGCCCAGGGCCTGCCACTGAAGACATTGCTGATTATTTCTGTTCTGGCAGCATGTTCTAGCTCTTGATGTTTTTAAACTTTTTTTTTTTAAGAAAAATTATTAAGTACAGAAAAGCGCAGATTTAAATGCATTCCATATTTCATTTCAAAAATGATTTTAATAATCCATTTCTTAAAACAACGGATGAAATTTTGAGGCTTAATGTTTTTAAAAGTATCGTTTCATTTTTGAAATCTAATTCACCATCAACTTATTGATTATTTGAGAAAATAGAGAACTTGTTTATTTACACACTTGTATGGAATCTGCATCTAAGGTGTTTCGGGGCATATGTTTAGAAGAGGGAACACCATGCTGAGTCCTTTCTGAGGCAGAAACGTGACCATTGTGCTCGTACCGAAGTTGAAATTTATTTTTACTTTCATACTGTTAATAATTTAACCTGGCGAATCAGTGTTTTAAATAAGGAAGACAGATAATAATTGGTAAAGTCGATGTTATTTAAATGAAAGTTGTTAGAAATATGCTTATACTGTTTTACCGAAGTTCTCTGTTCCTTCTCTTGCTGCACATCAATCAAGAGTTTCTAAGAGTGCTTTAAAATTAGAAATTATGTATAGAATGTTTTAAATCATTGTTTCTTTTTGTTGTTATTTTTTAAGAAAACCTCAGTCTTTCCACCTAATGGGTAGTCCCATTGGGTAAACAAGTATTTTTCAACATTCAGGTTTTTCTCATATTCTCTTATTTAATAAACTGTGCATCCCTTCACTTAGCAGAAATTGCCATATTGAACAGGTTTTGCTATTTTAAAAGTGGCAGAACGTGGAAGGAAGAAGAAATGCCATTTTAAGAGACATAAACATGAAATTCTGATGATTCTCTTGTGATATTACAAGAAAAATACAGCTTTCTATCTCTTTCAAGGACAGAAGAGTTTTTATTTCTGTATTTTTTATCAGAAAGTCTAAGTACTATTTAATCAAGCCTGATTCCACTTTTGATAATTATAGTCTTGATATGCAGATTATTTTTAATTTCGAAACAAATGTCACGAAAGCTGTCTGTCCCAGTTGTTTCGAAGGTGTATGTTTGACTACAAATCTCTATCCACTCTCTGAATGAGAACTTATTTTGTGCCTAGAGCTCCTACTCACTGATAATGTTTACCTTCTGGGCATTTATTCCAAAGTGGGATCAACTCTGCACCCTTGGTACCTGACCATAGAGTTTTTTGCTCAGCTGACATTTCAGTGATGTCTTTACATGGAAATATAATAAAAAATAAAAAGCTACTTTAGTACTGCATCATTTCCTTTCCTCAGGCCAAAAGGAGCAGTCCTATGGTTTCATTTATCCAGCATTCTTCATCTGTGTATTCATGCTGTGATAACTGCCTTTCCTTCCTTCTGTGCCTTTAAATACAAATTTTAGTTCTGCACAAGTGAAATATTAAAAATTGCCAATGGAGATTTGTGTACTTTGTCTTTAATTTGAGAATATGTGTGTGTCATTTGTTACCTAGACATGTATTTGTTACCCTAGAGGAACTGGGTGCTGGTGTATGAAGAAATGACCCTAATGCTGAGTGGTGCCAACACTTTCTCCCTGTGTCACTCACAGAGTCCTCCTCAGTGTGTGTCTCCTGCTCCACTCCAGAGCATCACCAGTTCTTGCTGATGTTTCCTCGAAGTCTTCATTTGGAACCATTCCTTCTCCATTGTCATAACCTCAAATTGTCGTGGGCCTGCCTGGTCTGTGCCACTGCCTCTTTTGTCTTCCTTAGACATGGCAGCAGTAATTAGCTTCTTAATATGTGACCATTTTGACCTAGTCACCTACAGTTTATGGATTACAGAGGCATAGGGATAGCCAAAAGGAGACCGGTAGGTTCCTAAGATACTGACCAATGAAGGGAAGAGTAGAGAGGCTGACCAAGGAAGGAAAGAGAGAGGTGGCACTATATACCCTAATACTTGGCAGATACTCAGGGGGTAGAGTCAGGTAGGTCAAAGCCTGAGGTAAAATGGCACTACCTCAGCAGGGTTGGTCTCTGAATCCAAGCCAGAGTCTCTGTCGTGTGTCTCTACTGCCTTTTATCTGAGGTGATCCCTTGCTGAGATCTGAGAGCTGCTAGTAAATTCTGCCTCTGTTTAGGATAGGAGTAGAGTTTCTGGGATTGATGCAATGGTTCTGGTTAACTGCTTACATTTTAGATGCTCACTGCTTCCCCTAATCATTTATGTAGTATTTCCCTCTGTGAAGTAGATTTGTGCTTGATATCTTCATCGATTTCTGGATACTTTTGTACAGACACACTTTATGTAGCTTTGACTGTTTTGGATACTTTATCAGCAGAAAGCTAATTGAAGGCCTTAAGTTCTGTCCTGGATGCTATAAAAAGAAAATTACAGAGAACTTGAAGGTGTATCCAAAAACTTTTAAGATCACACCAATGTGAGCATGTAAGTTGAAAGCACTTGTGTGTCAGGCTAAGAACAGTTTGGAGGAGAAGCAAAAATAATCCATAGTGGAATGGTTTAGCCCTCTTTAGACAATATGGATGGGGAAAACTTTGGCCCTTATTATCCAGGATGGTTCCTGGGGAGGAGGATTTCCTAAATAGTTTGGCCAGAGACAGATAGGAAATATCTTTGTTTGTTAGTGCTGCTGTAACAGAAATATCACAAGTGGGTGGCTTTAACAAACAGAAACTTATTTTCTCACAGTTTAGGAGGCTAGAAGTTCGAATTCAGGACACCGGTTCGAACTCAGGAAGGCTTTCTTTCTCTTGGTTCTAGGGGAAAGTCCTCATCTCTTTTCAGCTTCTGTTCTCGGTTCCTTGGAAGTCTTTATGTGGTGTGGCATCTGTCTTTCCCCATCTGTGCTTGCTTCTTTTTGTGCATGATCTGCTCCTTTTATATCTCAGAAGTGATTGGCTTAAGACACACCTACACTGATAGTGGCCTCATTAACATTAAAAAAACCTTATTCCCAAATGGGATTACATCCACAGGTATAAGGGTTAGGATTTACAGCACATGTCTTTAGGGGACACAATTCAATCCATAACAGGAAGATACTCGTGTTCTGTGAAGCCAGGACTCCCCACACCCAGTGAGCAGGATGAAGTCAGGCATCTCAGATAACATACCCTGCCTTTGGGTCTGAGCTCCCCCCAGGCTCCCTGGACTGTGACTGATAAACAGGTAAGATGTAATTTAAGGGCTAAGAGCTGGGGCTCTAGGACCCAGCAGGCCACTTATTAGTAAGACCTTGGGTAAGAAACTTGACTGATCCTACATTTCCCCATCTGTTATGTAGTAAATAACTGAGTTCCCACGCTGCAAAGCTCTGTTCTAGGTGCTGGAGAATACATAAGTAAACAAAAAATAGAAAAATCCTCTACCTCATGGAGTTTACATTCTGGTGTGTGGAAGACAGAAAATCAAAATTTGTAAACTAGATATTAAATGATGATACATTTTTTGGAGAAAAAGGAGGAGTTGAGGTGGGGATTTTTTGGGGGAGGGGCATGTTGCGATTTTATATAGGGTGGTCATAAAAAGTATCACAGAAAGTTAGTATTTGCAAAGACCTGAAGTAAGCGAGGGAGTGACCTAAGCAAGTATCTGGGAGAAGAGCACCCCAAGAAGAGGGAACAGCAACTATAAAGGCCTTGAAGTAGAAGTGAGCTTGATGTGTTTGAGAAAAACTAGAAGGCCAGAGTGACTGCATGTGCTAGGAGGGAGATGAAGTCACAGGGGCAGAGGTGGGAAAGATCTGTACAGGGCCTTGTAGGCTATTGTGAGAACTCAGGCTTTTACCTGAGTGCAATGGGAAGCCATTGGAAAGTTTTGGGCCAGGGGGTGACATGATCTGATTTAAATTTTAACAGGATCACTCTGGCTGCTATGTTGAGGGGCGGTTGGGAGGCTCTCACTATATTCTGGTCAAGAAATAATGGTGGTTAGATGGAAGTGGGAGTCCTGGTGGCATAGTGGTTGAAGAGCTTGGCTGCTAACCAAAAGGTCAGCAGTTCGAATCCACCAGTATGGGGCAGTTTTACTCTGTCCTATAGGGTCGTTCTCTTAGTTATCTAGTGTTGCTATAACAGAAATACCACAAGTGGATAGCTTTAACAAGAGAAATTTGTTCTCTCACAGTCTAGGAGGCTAGAAGTCCGAATTCAGAGTTTCAGCACCAGGGGAAGGCTTTCTCTGTCAGCTCTAGGGGAAGGTCCCTGTCATCAGTCTTCCCCCTGGTGGAGCTTTCTTGGTGGTATGAGGTCCTCCTGTCTCTCTGCTCACTTCTCTTTTTTGTATCTCAAAGGAGACTGACTTAAGACACAACCTAATCTTATGGACTGAGTCCTGCCTCATTAACTACTGCTAACCCCACCTCATTAACGTCACAGAGGTAGGATTTACAGCACATAGGAGAATCATTCAGATGACACAATGGTAGACAATCACACAATACTGGAAATCATAGCTTAGCCAAGTTGACACACATTTTTGGGGGACACAATTCAATCCATGACAGTCGCTATGAATCAGAATTGACTCCACAGCAATGGGTTTGTTGGCTTGGTAGACGGGAGTGGTGAGAAGTGGTTGGATTCAGCACATATTTTGAAGGTTGTGCCATCAGAATTTTCTGATGGGTAAGGTGTGGGATGTGAGAGAAAAAGTAGCATGGAGGATAACTCCAGGGTATTTGGTTTAAGTTACTGGAAGGATGGAGCTGCCAATAACAGAGAAGACTGCAAGAGGGGGATTTTTGAGGGGAAGAGCAGGAATTCAGTTTTAGACATGTTAAATCTGAGATGCCTACTAGACATCTTTGTCAAGAATTTCATTTTACTTGGATCCATAATTAACATCCATGAAAGCAGCAATCAAGAAATCAAACGATGTGTTGCACTGGGCAAATCTGCTGCAAAAGACTTCTTTAAAAGTGTTAAAAAGCGAAGATACCACCTTGAGGACTAAGGTGCACCTGACCTAAGCCATGGTATTTTCAATCACCTCATATGCATGTGAAAGCTGGACAGTGAATCAGGAAGACTGAAGAATTGATGCATTTGAGTTATGGTGTTGGCAAAGAGTATTGACTATACCATGAACTGCCAGAAGAACGAACAAATCTGTCTTGGAAGAAGTACAGCCACGATGCTCTTTAGAAGCAAGGATAGTGAGACTTTGTCTCACTTACTTTGGACATGTTATCAGGAGGAACCAATCCCTGGAGAAGGACATCATGCTTGGTACAGTAGAGGGTCATCAAAAAAGAAGACCCTCAACAAGATGGATTGACACAGTGGCTGCAACAATGGGCTCAAATACAGCAACAATTGTGAGGATGGTGCAGGACTGGGCAGTGTTTTGTTCTGTTGTAACATGGGGTCGCTATGAGTCAGAACCAACTCGACGGCACCTAACAGCAACAAGTAGACATCTAAGGGGAAATTGGATAAATGAATCAAGTTAAGAGGTCTGGGCTGGAGATGTATAGATGGGATTGAAAGCCATAAGACTGGATGAGATCATGAGAGGAGCGAGAAAAAAAGAGATGTGGTCCAAGGACAGCCCTGTGGTGCTCCAATTTTCAGATACCAGGGAGATGAGAAATCAGCAGAGGAATCTGAGAAGAACAAGGTGGTGGGCTAAAAGCCAAATTAGCCCCAAGTAGAAAGGGGAGCAGAAATATGGGATGGTAACTGGAGGCAGAAGTGAGGTCGAGAGAGGTATTTTATTTTTAACATGACAAACAGAGATAATACCTGTTGTAAGGGTGGAATGAAATGATAATAATAGCTCAATACTGGTACTTGTTAATAGTGATGATATTAATAACTGAGCATAATTGCTATGATTTAAATAAGTACAAATACAGAGAAAAGCACCTAATCCAGTTAGCAGTTGGGGTAAGGAGAGGATTGCCAGAGGAAACAATCAAGTTTTAGAATAGGAATCAGACCAAGAAGTGGATGAGGAGAACATTCCAGGGACAGCAGGTGCAAAAACATGAGGACATGGGCATTTTGGGAACTGCAAAAAAGGAGGGAGAGATGAGGCTGGAGAGGAAGACAGGCCAGATCTATGAGGTTTGTACCATAGTAAGGCATTTGGATATTAACCTGAATATAATCATTCATTCATTTAGCTAATATGTATTGAGTTCCTGCTAAATACCTGACACTGTTCTAGGCTCTGAGGATAAAACCGTGAACAGGAGAGAAAATTTCCCTACCTTCATAGGCTTAGATTCTAGTAGGGGAGACAAAGAACAATATTAGGAAATGAGTCAATATTTGTTAAACAAATAAGCGTAAAGGAGAAATCGACAGAACTGGAGATGAATTAGCTATAGGGGGTAGAGGCAGGAGTGAAGTATGATTCAGGTTTCAGATCTGGGCACTGATAGATGGTAGAAGCATTCACTGAGATAGGATACCCTCAAAAAACAGATTTTGGGGAAATGACTTCAGTTTTAGACAGGTTTGAGTTTGAGGTGCTTATCAGATAAAGGTCTGCCAAGGGGCAAGGGAGCACGTTTCTTTTCATCCACTTAGAGCTAGATCCACTTGAATTTAGTTGACCAGGACCTCATGGTCAGCACAATGGAGGCCCAATAACCAGTGCAACTGGCTATAGGTCCTGTCACTAATGGAAGCTTTACTCTGTGGATAAGAAACAAGCCCACTATTCATCCTGAGAATACTACTGCCCTACCAGGATGGTTCACAGTAGCCTCTCGACTGCTGCTCCACTGCTTTAACCCAGAGCTTAACCTGTCAGAGCCCACCCAGTGCCACTTCTGAAATTGCCAGAAACACTGGCAACCAACTAGAGATCCTGTTTTTCAGTAAGAAACCAGAGCTCTGGCTGGTAGACTCTTGCCTCTTTCACTAGTGACTTTTTAGTGGAGTGGGTTTGGTGCTAGACACTGGGGATAGAAGCACAGTGATTTGCTAAGTTACTTGAGGAGGCAGTGGTACTTCGATAGTAGAATTCTTGCCTCCCATGGAGAAGACCCAGGTTTGATTCCAGGCCAGTGCATCTTAAATGAAGCCACCACCCATCTGTCAGTGGAGGCATGTGTGTTGCTATGATGCTGAACAGGTTTCAGCAGAGCTTCCAGACTAAGGCAGACTGGTGATCTACTTCTGAAAAATCAACCAGTGAAAATCCTATGGACCACAATGATCTGACCCCATTGTGCATAGTCACCATGACTAGGGGGCTGACTTGACAGCAGCTAACAATAACAAAAGTTACTTGAAACAATCTCATCATCCAGACTCCTGAAGCTCTGCCAGGGGTAGATTTGGCACTCTGAGTCCTTGCAGGCTACCTTCTGGAGGAATGGCTGCTGAACCTCTGAAAGGGCTGGGTTGTCTTGCTGCAGTGCCCTTTCTCTTAAGCTTCCTAAATCCTCTTTTTCTGAATTGCAGGCAGGGAATTTAGGTTCCTACTTCATTTCTGTCACACTAAATTTTTGTTTTCCAAGGTCCAGTTGTCATGGGTGGGTGCCCATTCTTGGCAGAGGAAGGAATAACCAGGATCCTCCAGGCCATGTTGGGGCATGCCTCAGCTACACACAAGCTGAGACCAAATCCCTTCCTTCCTGATTTGATGATTGATGGAGCTTTCCTTTGAGCATCCTGACCACATTATTCGTTCATTTACTAAATATTGAGCACGACTATGTGCCAGGGAAGGAATTCTGGTGGTGTGGTGGTTAAGCACTCGGCTGCTAAATGAAAGGTCAGCAGTTCGAACCCACCAGCTGCTCCACTAGAGAATGATATGGCAGTCTGCTTCCGTAAAGATTTATAGCCTTGGAAGCCCTGTGGGGCAGTTCTGCTCTGTCCTACAGGGTCACTATGAGTCAGAATCAACTCCCCGGTAATGGGTTTGGTTTGGCTTGGTATGTGCCAGGCACTGTTATAAGTGCTGGAGAATAGAGCAGCTAAGCAAGAGAGACCAAATTTCTGCCCTCATGGAACATACATTCTAGTCTATGTTGAATAGTGATAAGTGCTAGAAAGAAATAATAAAGCAGGGGCAGAGGACCTGGAGTGGGTGGGAATGAGGAGGTGACTTTTGAGTAAAGACCTGAAGCCAGGTCGCTGGCCATGATGGTATTGGGGAAGAGCATTCCAAGCCCGTTGTGCGGCATGGTATGTTCAGGAACGGCAGAGGGGCTTGTATGGAGTGTACCAGGGGCCAAGCACACAGATAAGGTCAGAGAGGTGTACGGGAGCCTTGTAGATCACAGTACAAACTTGGGTTTTTCCCGAGTGAAATTCACCCACCAGGAAGTCTTAGAAGGACTGCCAGCCCAGCAGTTCCATGCCTGCAGGAGGGGCTGCGACTAGCAAAGTGCTTCGTGTGGGGCAACAAATGCATGGGTCAGAAGTTCCTGCCACACCCTTCCCTGCTGCTGCTGCCACCGCTGCCTTAACCCCCATGGAGTGGCCTCCCTGGCGGGCCGAGCTATGGGGCTGGGAGCCCCTAGAGAATATAGATCCTATCAGAGCTGGCTTTACATCTACCCTAGATGCACCCTTAGTGAAAGCAGCTGAATGAATGTCATTTCTGCTGTCATCATCCAGGTCCATACCTGGTTTTCTCACTGGCCTGGGCACCCCTGGAAGGCAAGAGCCAAGTCTTTCTTCCAATCTTTAACCACTAGCTCCTGCCCCAGGGCCAGCACACAGTGGGTGCTGAAACTCAGAGGACCAATCAGATGCCAGGCCCTGGCAAGACACTGAGCGTGCTATACCAAGATAAATAAGACATCATTGGGTCCTTGCCACAGCTGTACAAAGGCTCAGAAGGGATTTGCCCAAAGTTACCCAGGAGGTCACTGTCCTGACTCCACCCCCTGGTCCTTCCCACAGATGTTCCTCAGACATGCCAGGCCATGCCATCTGAATGCTCACAACTCAGGATGTGCCCAGAGGAAGGTGCCCCACACCCTGCCTCCCCTGCTGGAACCCCTGACCATCATACCCAGGCAATGGAGACCAGGACAAACCTCCCACCCTCATTCCACAAGAAATTAAGCCCAACAACTCACATCTTGGTTTGTACCCAAGTTGGGGGATTTTATTTACAGAAATGCCTGGGTGGGACCAGGGAAGAGGGGCCAGGAGGGCAGAGCCATAAAGAGAAGGGAGATGGGTGTTTAAATAGTCAGATGGGAGGTAGGGAGGAAGTAGTGAAGCTGGCTTAAAGATGGCCATCTCAGGGAAGACACCCATCAGCAGTCCCCCAGTAAGTCCAGGGGGTGGGGATAGGGTCAGGAACTGGCAGAGACCTCAGTCCACCTGCCCCAGGGACAAGATGGTCAGTGGGAGGATGGTACAGATTAAGGAGACATTTGGTAACATCTGAGTGGTAACATCCTGAGAAGGAAAGCCACCCATTCTCTTCAGAGCTTCAACTCTCCAGCAACACTTGCCCTGTCGGCCTCACTTTTTCACTCTGATGCCTTCCCTTCCCTTCCCCCATGTTTTAGAATGTACTTTTCCTCAGGACTCCTGGGTTTCAGACAAAAGGTCCTAGGAAAAGTAGTTTCCTGGGCTGCAGGGTGGGGTGCATGTCCACCCAGAGGGAATCTAGTCCTTTCCCCCCAGGATGCCCACCAGGCTCTATCCTGGCCTGATGCTCACGGCCCTTTGATGGATCCTGGCTCCGTAAGGCGGGCAGAGGCATAGGCTGAGGCTCCAAGGCAGGCCGCAGGCTCACAGAAGCCAGGCAGCCCCACGGGGCCTGGCAAGCCAGGGTGGCCTGCCTCTCCTGGAGCCCCTGGGGACCCTCGGTCTCCATCCTTGCCATTGATTGCCTGGCCAGGCCGGCCAGGGAGGCCTGTGTAAGGGAGAAGGTCAAGACATCAGGGCCTCCTCCGGTCTCTGCCCTAGAATTCTTAAGTCTCATATTGCAGGTGGGGAAAATGAGGCCAAGGACACCACAGGAAGAAGGGACTCTGACCCAGCCACAAGAGATTGTGAGAGAATCGTGTGATTTTCCATTACTCCCAACTCCTAATCAGTGAGCCTTGGGAGCAAATGCCCCTTCCTTCCCCACCAGGAAGCAGAACCCCAGTTGTCCAGTTCCCAGTCAGACCTCACCCCGAGGCTCATGGGTGCTCCAGAGGGATGGATGCAAAAGCTGGCTGGCTGGGACTGAGATGGCTGAGTGTGAGGCCTCCATGAAGGGACCCAGGTGACCATGGGTCATTAGATCCCAGAGGCCAGGGGCAGAACTGCAGCTGGGCAGGGCTAAGGTCTTACCTGGGATCCCTGGTGGCCCAGGCATCCCGGGGTGCCCACGTCCCACGTCTCCCCGATCACCTTTCTCTCCACGTTTTCCTGCAGAGAAAGAAAAGAGCATTAGTTTTTCAGAATTGGAAGATGATTTTTCTACTTTGTTTGCTATTTCATTTCTGTTGCACACACAGCAATTATTCCTGTGTTGTGATAGTTTGTGACAGGGGAATGTTGGAAACGACCACGTAGGACTGGTTAAATAAGTAAAGTCCCAGACGTCCCAGACATTGGATGGAAGACTCTGCAGCTGTTAACGTTTCTTACAGAAAAGTGTCTAATAATACCAGTCTAAACCAGTTCCGTTGAGTTGATTCCGACTCATGGTGACCCCACATTTGTCAGAGTAGAATTGTGAACCATAGGGTTTTCAATGGCTGATTTTTTGGAAGTAGATTGCCAGGTCTTTCTTCTGAGTTGCCTCTGGGTGGGCTTGAACCTCCAGCCTTGCAGTTAGTAGCCAGACGCATTAACTGCACCACCTAGGGACTCCAAATAATAATAGCTAGCATTTATTAGGAGCCCTGGTGGCGCAGTGGTTAAGAGCTCACCTGCAGTTCGAATCCACCAGCTGCTCCTTGGAAACCCTATCGGGCAGTTCTACTCCGTCCTATAGGGTCACTATGAGTCGGAATCCACTACGTGCCAAGCAATGATCTAAGAACTTCATGGAATCACCTCTAAATAGAATCCCCAATATGGTGCTGTGAGGTTGGTACTGTTAATATCCTCATTTTACAGATGATAAATCTAAGGCCCAGGGAGATCAATAGGTAACTTGTCCAATGTCCATAAGCAGACAGTGGCAGGTCTGTGACTCCAGAACCTGCCCTCTTCGCTACTTTGCTAACTTGCCTCCCCGCCTCTAGAGCATGGAAAGACATTTACGAGGTACCACTAAGTTAGAAAGACAAAACAACCCATGTAAGAAAACAGTATGTTCATTTCCAGCAATTTGCCACTGGGCAAGAAAGCTCAGAGTATTTCTTGAAAAACCTGACTGAGGGAAAATGGGGGGAAAAGTGCTTGTATCTCGTCCTGGGAGGGGGAATGGTAAAGGGCAGAGGGAAGCAGGAGGCGGAGCAGTCAGCCAGCCTGAAGCCCCTGGCTGGCCTTGGCCAAATCCCCCCTGCCCAGCCCCCACTCCACCCCCAACGCACAGCAGCACACTCACCCTTGGGCCCCGTGTTGCCGATCTGACCCACGGCCCCCACGATGCCAGGAATTCCCCGAGGGCCAGGGTGCCCGTGGGGTCCCTGTTTGCCTGGGTACCCAGGAGGTCCTGGGGGCCCTGGAGGGCCCACCATTCCGACTGCACCCAGGGCTTCCCGCTTGGCACTCACAGCCACCTCTGCCAGTTGCTCTGGAGGGAAGGAGGAAAGGAGGGAGGTAGAGAGGTGATGGGTATCACCCCCAAGTTAAACTGGAGGAGGCAGAGCATCCTGATGGCTCCTGACCCCTCAGTTTGCAGTCAGAAAAGCTCCATGTTTATTTAACTTCCCCCTTCCTCAGGCCCTGCTTTACTGACGTCAGAGGTCCAGAGAGGGCTGAGATTTATCCAAGGTCCTGCAGCTGTTTGGAGGCAGAGCTGGGGTGAGCACCCAGGACTCCTGACTCTCCGGCCAGGAGACAACAAGGCAATAGGGAGGGGCTCCTGCAGGGTCCAAATGCCCTGAAATGGGCTGGGGGTGGGGGGGCGGGGCGGGCTGGGCGCTGCCTCTCCCCTCACCTTGCAGCATCTTCAGCACCACGTCCACGATGTGCTGGTCACTGGCATCTCGGCCCTGAAAGCAGAAGGGCCTTTCAGGAAGAAAGAAAGCCCTGGGCTGCCAAGGCTGACCGCTCCTGCACCCTGTGACTCCCTCCTGCTGCCATCTGGGAAGTCAGAGAGAAGGCTCCTCACAGGAAGCACTTTTCAGTATCTGACTGAAATCCCTCCTGCTGCCCCCATACCCGTCCTCTCCGCATTGGAGCTTGGAAGCAACCTCAGAGAAGCCAGTCGGCTTCAGGGAATTCCCAGCCTTTGGGGGATAAGCAGCATCCCCAAAGACATTTCCTAACTAGGAGAATTCCCCTTCCCGGGGGCCAACTCACCGCCACGCCCTGTCTCCCGGGCAGCCCGGGAATGCCTCTGCTTCCAGCCAGTCCTCGAGGGCCGGGTAGCCCTGGGTAGCCCTGAGGCCCTGGGGCTCCCGCATCCCCAGTGGGCCCAGGGTAGCCGGGTTCTCCGCGGACTCCTTGCTGCCAGGGGCGGGGGTGGGTGCAGAGGAAGTGAGAAGGCACTCAGGCAGGAAAGGTGGGGGTGTATGGTGGAGGAAAAGGAGAGGCGCGGGAGTGGGTGGGGGAGCTGTGGCCCCTGGACAGGAGGAGGTACCAGGGAAGCGCCAAGGGAAGGGGCGAGGAGGACAGCGGCGACGGGACGGGCAGGACTTACCTGCCCCTTGGGCCCCGGCTCGCCAGACTCCCCCTGCAGACACAAGGAACCAGGGTTAGGAAGTGGTAGGGCCCGGAGCCCACCCACCGTCCCCGACCCGCCCCCAGGCAGCCCGCCCACCTTCTCGCCTTTCTCTCCGGGGAGGCCGGCGACACCCGGATCGCCCTGCCGAGAGAGCACAAAGATCAGCCGCGCAGCCTGGTGGGGACGTGGGGAAGGGGCGCGGCCGCCCGCGGGAAGGTTTGGACCCCCGGAGGCGGCGGCGCGGGGCAGGGGAGGCGCTGTACTCACCACTCCGCCGCGGGGCCCGGTCTTCCCCGGGGAACCCTGCAGAAAAGCAGAATGAGGGGCCTGGAGAGCTCTTTCTCCAGGGAGGGGCTAGGTCCATGCCCCCGCCCCACACCCCGGCCACACCCCTCTGGCCTCGCCCACCCAGAGGGTACTTTGTTCCCCGCAGATTTTGAACGTTCAAGAAGCAGCTAACTGAGCTCCTCGACCCCTTCCACCGGCTCCACCTCTCCCACCTCTCCCACCTCTCCGACCTCCCCACTCCTCCCCCACCTTCCCATTCTCCCCTACCCCGCCACAGGGTCTGAGGAGCTCTTTCCAGCCCCATTTGATACCTTGTCCCCTTTGATGCCTGGCAAGCCTTGGGGCCCTGGAATTCCGGGGGACCCCTGGTCTCCTTTGGGGCCCTGAGGAGAAAAGAAACCAGAGGGGATAAATCAAATGAGGTGCCCAGGTATGCTCCCTGCCCCTACCTCAGCTGGCCTAAACTCACCTGTCGACCTTGAGGACCTGGCCGCCCCACTGGCCCCCTCTCACCCTGGTCACCCTGAAATGGAAAGACAGGGTCATGCCCAGGCTATCAGCAGGGGCAGCCAGGCCCCAGACCTTGCATGGTCAGGGTGTCCTCCATTCCTGCTGCCACTAGCATGAGGGTCTTTTGCTCCACTTCACAGACCAGCAAGCTGAGGCCCAGGGTGGGGAAGCCTCTCACGGACTGGGAGGGACTGAGCAGGTGGTGGAGCCAGTGAGAGGACCCAGAGCTCAGATTCAGCAGTGCCAGCTGCTGCAAAGTCCCCCAGGAAACGACCAGTTACCTTCTGTGGTCCAGGCACTTACCTTCTGCCCCATGATGCCCCGGGGACCAATTTCTCCTCGAGGCCCTGGCTCTCCCTGGGGGACAGAGAAACTGGGGGTAAATAGTAGTCCTGTCAGGACACTCCCTTCCACACCTGGCTAGCCCCTCTCCACCCTGGGGTCTCAGCCTTCCTTGACCCCATGTTACATGCTCTCGGGTCCCTGTACTTTTCCTTCAAGAAACCAAGAAACTTTTAATTAGTTGTCATGTGATCATTTATTTAATGCCTGTCTTTCCCACTGAAGTGTAAGCTCCATACCAGTAGGAGACTATGTCTGTCTCAGAATCTAACACAGTTGTGGGTATTTGGTCAATGTTTACAGAATGAATAAATGAATGAATGACTCTGTTGGATTCTCAGGCCCAATCAGCTTGGCCATCTGGGGAGGCCACACCCCAGGACAGAACCAGTCCCACCCTCACTGCATTATACACAGGGAAACACGGTCTCAGAGAGAAGGGAGCATTTCTGGGTTAGTGCAGAGCCCAGACTGGCACCCAGAGCACCTCCCAGGCTGGGGCTGTACTCCATGGCCTCACCCTGACCGTGTGCTGAGGGTTCTCAGGCCTGGGATGTCCAAAGCAAGAGCACTGTGTCAGTGGAGTGGGCAGTCACTTACCTCTTTCCCAGGAGGACCAGAGAATCCGGGGAGGCCCTGCTGGCCTGGCTCACCCTACAGGAAAACACATTTCTAAGGTCATTCTGGGTGGCCCAGTCAGGCCCATGGCCTTGGGGAAACACAATGGACCCTAAACAGAGTCCAGAACCAACTGAATTGGGGAAGGGGAGAGGGTGTTCTTGGTCGTGGCTTCTGGGTTCTACTGATCTTCCATGCATTCAGTCTCCAATGAGCTGTGCTCTCAGAGGGGTTCGGGTTGTTAGGTCCAAGGGGCTGTGTCCAGGCTGAATCAGTGAGCCTTGGAGGAGGCCTGAGGCTTGCAGTCTTTAGGCCATGCCCTGGTCCCTGCCCCCAGGCTCCCTTGCTCAAATGGGACCAATTCTGCCCCCAGCTTGGTGTCACCTCACCTTGTCTCCAGGGGCCCCTTTTGTCCCGGGCTGGCCTGGCACACCCTGCAGAAAGAAGTCGACATCAATTCCTGTTCTGGCAGGGGGTCCCCATGCATTGGCTGCTTTGCCTCCCACCCCCAATCCACATTTCCCCACCCTGTGGGAGCTGAATGGCAGAAGGCCTGGCCACAATCCTGTAGACTGTGTCCTCCACCCCTGGCCTCCAGAGCCCAGGTGGGAGAGGAGCACGGTACAGAGAGGCCTGCCTACCAGGACCTGTGGACCGTGGGAAAAGATGAGCACACTTACGTGCTCGTAGGTACACAGGCTCACACATGCACATATAAGTGCCTCCAGGGACACAAGTGTACACGCAAGCATAAAAGCAAGCTTCAGCCACTCAGTACTCCTGTCAGGGAGGGAAAGAGGACTCCTATGCTGGGCTCTTAGAAGGTGTCAGATGGAGATGGGTCTGAAAGGTGAGAAAGCATAGAGACAGGGGAAGGCCATTTCAAGCAGAGACATCAGCAAAGACAAAAGCTTGGGGGTAGAAAAGCCAAGGCACTTTTTGGGAGTGTTGAAAAGGGAGAAGACCTAGCAGGGTAGTGGCTGGTGAAGGTTGGGGTCAGAAGGTTGGGGTCAGATTTTGGTAGTCCTTGAATACAAAGATGAGCTGTAAGGACAAAGATTGCATATGTCTTGTTCATAAATATTTCCCTATCACTTAATATACCTCAGGTACTCGATAACTATGTATCAAACGACTGAACTGAATGACTTTTTTGCTGTAGGCAATGGGGAGCTTTGGAAGGTGTTTTAGCAAGGAAATGGTCAGATTCCACTTAGGCAGCATGGAGGGTTGGGATGGCCAAAGAGAAGGCTAGAGCGATTGTCCAAAGGATAAGGTTTAAACCAGGCAGGGACTGCAGAGGTGGTGATAAGGCCTGGGCTGGGGACAAGGACTGCAGAAAGAATTCTGAGTGTGTGGATTTTAGCCTAATCAGCTACTCATGCCATTGTAGGGAGGTGGGCAACAGAGTGTCTGACCGCTCAGAGGCCAGGGAGGGGAAGCAACTTGCCTGTAGAGCAGAACCTGTGACTTCACCAGATACTCACCGCTAGACCCTGGTGACCTGGGTTTCCTGGCCGCCCCGCCTGTCCTGCACTGCCCTGGAGAGACAAAGAGCCAGAGGCCCAGATTAGAGCTTCAGCCAGAGGGCTTATGGCTTCCACCCAAGTGCAGGTAGGGAAACGGAGGATTGTCATGGGAAATATGACACCCCTGAGGATCCAAGGCTCCTGGGCCTATAGGAGCAGTGTGATAGGGCTCATGGTACTGAGTTAGGTGGGGTCCTGACCCTTACCCCAATCCCACCAGCAGCCCCAACTCCTACCTTCATGCCAGGTGTGCCTGGGGTCCCATCCTTGCCATCGATGCCTGGGGGGCCCTGCTCAGGAGGAAAGTTGAGGGAAATTCACAATGGGGAGATGCCTGGGGTCAGGCCACCCACCCACATCCCTCTGTGATAGTAAGTCTTGTCATCTTGGGAAGCCCCACCAGTCAACTGGGTGAGGGGAGCTGAAGTGGAAGAGGGGGTCACAGGGAATGAACCATAGTCCTTCCATGGTGTGGGTGATAAGTTTCCCAGATTGCTGCAAGCTTCCATTCCCATATATCATCACCCCTATTTTACAGGTGAAGAAACTGTGGCACAGAAAGGGAAAGGCATTTACCAAGGTTACAGAGCCAACTCGCCTGCAACAGATTCCCAGGCCCCTCTTAGAGGGGGTTTGAACAAAGCTGACTGGACCCTGCCCTCTGTCTGGTGGGCCTGGGCCTGGCACTTACGGTCACTCCTTTCGGGCCTGTTAGTCCCTGGGGTCCTCGAACACCTTGGCTGCCCTGCAAAGTAGATAGAGATCAGGTCACCTTCAGGACACTTAGCCCCTGCCTGGCTGTTCAGAGAGGAGAATAGCTGAGTAGAATGACCTCTGGGTTTCAAGGTCCCCCTGCACAGGCCACACTGTGCAGGGGCTGGAGGAGAGGGGCCCGCGAGTGCCCTTTCTGCCCTGGAACCAGCAGGAGAGAGTAGAGATGAGCTGAGCCGAGCTGGGCTGGCCTGGGGCAGGGGCAGGGGTGGGAGCCAGCATTCCCTGAGACCCCGGCTAATGCCGTGAGCTCCATTCATGTAAAGAGACACAACAACCAGGCACAATGTGTGGACTTTATTTGGGTCATGATTTGAGCGAGAACTGTAAGAGGATATTTTTTGAGATAATTAGGGGAAAAAAATGAACCTAGATGGGTTATTGTTGTTGTTAAGTGCCATTGGGTCGATTTTGACTCATAGCGGCCCCAGGTGACAGAGTAAGAACTGCCCTATAGGGTTTTCTTGGCTGTAATCTTTACGGAAGTAGATCACCAGGTCTTCCTCCCTGGGAGCCACTGGATGGCTTTGAACCACTAACCTTTTGGTTAGCAGCAGACTGCTTAACTGTTTGCCACACCAGGGCTCCTGAATGGTTGATAATTAGATGATGATAAGCAATAATTTTTAATTCTGTTAGCTGTGATAATAATATTGTGATTAAGTAAGAAAAAGTCCTTATTTTTTAGAGATACATACAGAAGTATCTAGGGGTGAAATGACATGATATTAAGGATTTGCTTAAAATATCAGAACAAAACAATAACAACAAAGTGAAGGAAGGGAAGAAAGGGATGAAATAAGCGAGTATGGCAAACTGTTAACCCTGGAATCTAGGAAACAGGTATATCAGGATTCATTATGTTGTTCTCTCTACTTTTGTGTATGCCTAAAAACTTGCATTATAAAGAGCTAAAACCTAACAATAACAATTAAATAAAGAGTTAAAGAGAACTGGGATCCAGACCAAGTCCCATTAACCTCATGAATGATTTGCTGGAATTTCATTGTCTGGCCCCAGTGACCGTGGGACCAGATCCCATGGCCTCTCCCAAATCTGAATTTGGTCAGCAACAGGCTAGGCTTGGAGGAACAGGGGGTTGGCAGGGCTGTCGGGGCAGCCTGAGTGTTGGTATAGATACTCATCCCCCGCAGCAGTCCTGGACACACAGACACACAGAGTCTCACACACATATGGAGCTGAGTCTTGCCCAGTACTCCCCAAGGACCCCAACTGGACACGGGGTGGCTGAGGACTCACCACATCACCCTTCTCCCCAGCTCGGCCTGGGGGCCCCCGTGGCCCCTCCTCACCCTGGCAAGAAGGACAAACAGGAATCCAGGTTACATGGGCTCAGGGAGAACTGCACTCACTTCGCAGCCCCAGGAACCCAGCTGGAGGAGGTGGGGGTGGGTGGGCCAGGCAGTAGCAGACTTACCGGGGACCCGGCGGCGCCAATGGGGCCCTCCATACCTTTGTACCCGCGAGGACCCTGGGGAGAGGAAAAGGTTGCAGGTCAGTACTGGCTGAACCCCAGAGGCCAAGTGACCTCTGACCCCAGACAAGTGAGCCCAGAGGTCAAGGAAGATCTTGCAGGACACCCCCAGACTCACCATCTCTCCCTTAGCTCCTGCCATGCCTGGGTAGCCCCTGATGCCCTGGGGACCCTATCAAGACAGAAAAGTGACAGTAATGGCAGTTAGAAGGCCCACTTCATGATGTTTCTCTGACACCCCTTCCCCCACCCCATCTTCACAGTGCCCCTCTGGGGCAGGCGGCATCATCCCTATTCACAGATGGGACATTGAGGCTCAGAGCTGGGATAGGACTTGCCAGGATCATGCAAAGGGACGGTGGCAGAACCTGGACCTCAGCTGGGTCTTCTGACTGACAGCCTTGGTCCTGTCCCCTCATTTCTGACAGCCCCTCTGTCCCCACCCAGAGACACTCCCAACGGGCGCAGGAGTCTCTTCCACAAGCTAAAGCAAGGGAATGACTCCATACGGGCACCCAAGAAGAGAGACAGGAGGGCCTCAGGGGGAGGTGTCCTTACCGGTGGTCCAGGGATGCCTTGCTCTCCAGAGGCACCCACATCTCCCTTGGGACCCTAAGGGACATCAATGAGCTGTCAGACAGGCAGGCAGACAGAGAGACAGATATACAGGCAACCAAAGATACAATCCTCCTTCCCCAAAAGCAGACAGGAAGGACCCTTAGGAACCACACAATCTCATGTTACAGGTGGGGAGATTGAGCCTCAGCAAGGAGAAGGGGCTTTCCTGGCACATTGACCTGGAACATAGGCCTTCTGCCTCCCAGCTCAAGGCTCTGTCTCCAGTAACTCACAGGGGAAGGCATAGGGATAAAGGAGGGGAAGACCCCTTTAGGACCTTCTCCACATAATGGCCCTCCCAAGGCCCTGGGCCCGCACACTCACTGGCTTCCCCTGGCGGCCAGGATCGCCCAGAACTCCGCGTTTGCCTGGATGCCCCTGGAGGGAAGGAGAAAGCTCAGGGTGAGGCCCACTCCTGGTCACCTGCTCCACCCTCCCAAGACTTGGGTCAGGAGCTCTCACCTTCACTCCCTGCAGCCCTGGGGGGCCTTTCACACCCGCTGGACAGTTGGTTGGGCACTGGAAAGAAAACCCCACAGGTCCTGTGGTCACTGGCCTGCCCCAGGCTGGCAGGGCAGTGCTCCCAGCACCCCTTCTCCTGCAGCTGCCCCCATCCCCCTATCTTGCCAACTCCTGAACTCTCCTCTCACCCAACTTGGCGGAACCCATGCCACTGACCCCATCTCCATGACCACCCCTCTCCAGCTGACCCACCCCTCCTTGCACTAGCCCCGCCCTAGGCCCCTGCCCCTCACCAGGAAATCCGCGCTGCCTTCGAGGCCCTGGATAGTTCCTGGGCGGCCCTGAGTGGAGATGTACGAAGATGGAGCCTGATGCAACCCTTCCCCACCCAGCTTGTGCCAAGGACCCTTCTCCTTCCCCAGGTCTGAGGACACATACCGGTTTGCCAGGGGGCCCTGGAGGTCCTTCTGGTCCCTCTGGTCCAGGATCCCCCTGGAAGCAGGAGACGCCCAAATCATATCCCCTGCCAGCCCTGCCAAGGCCACTTCTGCCCCCACCTCCTCCAGTTCCTGCCACTGCCCTGCCCACCCTGCCCTCCAGGCCACCTCCTGAAAGTTGGAGTCTTGGGAAAATCAAGGCCTGATTGGCAGGGGATAACCCCACCCCTTGGTCTCCCTGAAAAACCTGCTACAGGGTGAGCTCAGCAGCAGGGGCTTCTGCTCTAGACATGGAGGAGCTACCTGGTGGCCAGAAGCAGGCCCAGCAACTCCCTGGAGTGAGACCACCCCAGCTTACCACCTTGGAGGAGAAGGGCATGAGGCAGTGTGAGCAGAGGGGTGGCTGGGTCTCACCTTGGGGCCTGGGATACCAATCACACCAGGGAGGCCAACAGGTCCAGGTGGTCCCTGGGGAGCAGAGACCTCGATGACTGGGATGTCTCAGAGGGTCAGCCCATGCCAGACCTGAAGGAATGGGCACCAAAGGGCACCAAAGCTCCCTTCTCTTTTACTTTGTGACCAACCCCCAAGAGACTGGGGCTTTAAGGACCAGAGAATTCCAAAGCCAGTGGAAAGGTCCAGAGTGGGCTGGCCCAGGGTCTCTGACAAGTCTACCCATCCCTGACAGCATCATGGCATGCTGCCCCCCGCCATGATGGACATTCTGTCTCCTTCTTCCCTAGGAGTCCCTGGGACCATGCCCCATCCCTGAAGACTTACAGGAGGTCCAGTGAAGCCGGGGCCCTGGAATAGAAGGGAAGGGGTTTGGGTTCATGGCTCCCTCCCTACACCTCCCCCTACCCACATAGGGTCCCTTGAAGCCCCTGTGGGGTATACTCACTGGCAGGCCAGGGGGACCTGGGAGCCCAGGCTGGCCCTGCAGGAGCAATGGGAGAGGCTCAGAAGGTGGGGTCTTCTGGGACACTGTTCTTCTTTACTGCAGCCCCTCCTGATCTCTGGCCCTAGATTGACCACGCTGAGGCATCAGCTGGCCACTTACCTTAACTCCAGGAATCCCCAGGGGGCCAGGCTCCCCCTTGGCTCCAGTTAAACCCTGTGGAAGAAGTAGGGAGGGTTAATGAGGGGCAAACCTCCTCTCTGACCCATGGGGCAGGTAACATCCAGGGCCTTTCCTGGGTGGGCCTAGGCACCCTTTTGCCACTCTCTGTGCAGGTCTAGGGGCCTCAAAACCGCCGCTTCCTTTCCCCCAGTTCCCACAGTAGCTCTGGGAGGCAGGACAGGCTTATCATCTTTTGAAAGATGAGAAACCAATGCTCAGAGACTTGTCATAGCCCAACCCTCATGTCTCCCAATTTAGGGGTCTAAAAGATGTAGACATAGATCAGTCTGCCCTTGGAAACTTTTTCTGAGCCTTAGTTTTCTCATCTGCAAAATGGGCTAATCCTGCTTACCTCTCTAAGTGGATGTGAGAGCTAGTGTGCTAGTGGAAAGCAATGTGCTTTGTAAACTTTGCAGGGTATAGGTGAGTTTGGAAGGGCCCTGGTGGCTGGTTGCAGCCCTGGCCTCACCTCCTGAGTCAGTATAGCAGAGGCAACTCATGGGGGCCTTTGCTTCCTCCCGTCTTTCAGTGACTGACCCCAGTGTATCCCCCCAATAAGATGACTGTCCCAATGCCCCTGGGACTGGCTGTGCCCACAAGCCCATGATCTTGGGAGCCCCTGGGAGCTCTGTGGTATCAGCCAAATGAAGTTTCTCTCTTGGGTTGTGCCTAGGGTAAGGGATGGGGGAACAAGAGGGTGGGAGAAGAGGAGAGAGACCTTGGAAATGGGCACAACAGCAGCCCCACTCAGAGTATTCAGTCTGATACTTGGAGACCAGATATGTGACCCTGAGTCCTGACTGCTACAGACGAGCAGGACAACCCTGAACCTTGCAGAAAGCAGAAGCCACCACTTGACCCCCATTTGCATGTGATTCAATGTTCCTGGGGTGTTGTGAGGTTCCAGTGATGTTATAGGTCACGTAAAGTGAGGGGGGCACACACCTGTGGATGATTCTCCATTCTGCTGCCCAGCTCTGAACAGATCAGTGAAGATGCCAGAACTTGGGCTCTGAAAGTCAGTGGGTGGAGCCCTAACCTGCCCTCCCAGCACACCAGTACTCACATCAATCCCAGGCTTCCCATCTGGCCCATCTGGCCCGGGTTTGCCAGGCTCCCCCTTGGGTCCCTTGAAAACAGAGAGGAGCAAACATTAGCAAGAGGAGGGCAAGAACTGGAAGGGTCAAAGGGCAAAAGGGAAAAAAGGCGCTCACCAGAGGGCCAGGTTTTCCAGGGGGCCCCTTGTCACCCTGCAAGATAAGAGTTGGTGAAACAGCATTCTACACCTCATGGTACCCCAAGTGGGCACACAAGGCCCTGGCTGTCCAGTCTCAACTGCTCCTCTCCTCACTCTGTCATATCTTCTGTCCTGGGTTCCCTCAGTCTTGTAATTTTTAGGAAAATATCCTCCTTTCCCTCAAAAAACCATCAGTAGGTTGAGACTAACCCCAGCCGGGCTGGAGAAGGTGAAATCAGCATGCAAGTGAGTTTTGGACACCTGATGTTGGTGAGGTAGCAGGTATGACATCTGCAAACGGGGCTGTGGGCTCCAAGTCATCCCTCAGGGCTGCTGCCTCTTGGATTTGGGCAAGTGTGGGAAAAAACTTGGGGCTTTCAGAGGAACTTGAAGAGGTGAGCAAGGGAGACAGTAGCTCTATTCTGGATTGTGGGTCAGGAAAATGAGGGGCTGGGGGAGGGTCCAAGGATCAAGCGGCCAGTGAGGAGGCTTGGGGTTTGGGGGTCCGTGAGGGGGCTTGTGAGAGGACATGGAGTTTGGGGACCTGTGAAAAGGCAGATTCAATCTGTTCCCAAGGCAAGAAGAACCTCTTAGCTCAGTGACAAAGGACCCTTGGTGGAGGACAGGCAGGGCCTGTGGAGTCAGATCTCCCCCCGCCCCCCAGCCCTCCAGGCATTTGAGAGCCTGCAGCAGCCAGAGAATCTGGTCCTGGCCCAGCCCCACCGTCCTATGTTTGGGGTGGGGGTGGGGGGTACCAGGTTGAATAGAAGTCTGTCCAGGCGGGTAAACATGGAGCTGACCTCCTGCGGAAGCCTCCAGAATGAGGTATTTAACCCTCACCATGCTAAACAGAGCAGGGAACAACCCCAGCTGTTTCTAAATCGGGAAGAAAAAAAGCAAAGCAAAGAGACGAGTCTGGCCCCAGCCGGTGGGCGGTCTGGCCAAGGCTCCCAAGCTACCTGAAGTAGCGTCCAGGCGTGCTAGAGACAGGGAAGGGGATTAAGGCGTCTCCATCTCAACGGAAAGGAGGGGAGGAGAGGTGGATAAGGACATGCTGTGAGCTGTGGTCTGCAGGCAGAACAGCAGCTCCTTGTGCGCTGGAGGCTATAACGGGCTCTGCAGCTCAGGAATGGTCTGAGTTTTTTGTAGAACAAACGGTCCTTGTGGTGCAGGCCGGTGCCGCCTACTGGCGACAGGGGGCACTGCGCCTCCAGCTGCCTATCCTTTAATCCCACCCCCAGCCCACCGCTCACAAAGCTGCCCTTTGTCGGCGGCCTCCCTCCCGCTCGGGTCCCAGGTTTCAGACTCACGTCGATGCCGTCGGATCCAGGCACTCCCGGCGGGCCCGGGGGGCCCGGGGGGCCCGGCTGCCCCGGCGGACCTCTCTGAAAACACACACAGGGGTGCAACTCTCAGTGCAGGGAACGGGGCGTCCTAGGGGCTGCAGGCGACCCGGGAGCTGGATCCCAGGGGTGCACCTCCCCCGAAGAAAGGGAGCTCCTCAAAAAGCTGCGAACTCTCATTATTGAGAACCTTCTGTGTTCCAGGTACTCCGCTAAACCATCATTACATACTTCTCTTACTGAATGCTCAGACCTCTAAGGCGGATACTGATAGGAGCCCCCGTACGCAGTTGAGGAAACAGGCTCGGAAAGATCAAAGGGCCCATATGGTCATAGAGGAGTCCCTGGGTAGTATAAATGGTGAACGCCCTCGGCTGCTAACTAAAACGTAAGAGGTTCGAATCCACCCAGAGGCAATTTGGAAAAAAGGATTGGCATCTACTTTTGAAAAATCAGCCACTGAAAATTCTATAGAGTACAGTTCTACCCTGACACACATGAGGTCGCCATGAGTCTGCGACAGGTCAATGGCAATTGGAACTGGAAATGGTCACGGAGAGTAAACGGTAGCTGAGTGAATGGTAGCTCTTATTACCATTTTTAGATAAACAAGAGGTATAGATGGTGAGTAGTGCCACCTCTCTTCTCCCACCCTCTACCTCTTCCACTCCGTGCGGTAAAGGCCTGGGAAAATGGGGGTGCGCAGTGGAGCGACCATAGGGTGCGGAAGCCGGTGCTATTTTCCCACCCAGCGCACCCCTCCCCAGCATTACTCCTCTGCCCTCTCTTGGGAAGTGCCAGGCTGGCGACCCGGAGGCAAGCTGCGACCCGCACACAGCACCAAGCGGCCCCGGGTGGGGTTCTCCCACCTGCGCTCGCGTTCCCTAGTCCTAGAAAGTCAGGCGCCCGCGCGCGAGCGGGTGACAGAGGCGGCCGCCAGCTGGAGCGACGTCTGGCCGAAGCCGGCGCCCCCGGGAGGCGGCGGGGGCGGAGGCTTGGAAGCCTGGTGAATGGGCACCATTGTCTCTCCCGCCACCTGGGCTCTCCTGGCTGCCAGGACCAGGCGCCAGCTCCTGCCCCAAGCGGCCTGTCCCGGGCAAGGCCGAGCATCTCCGGACAGGGTCCCTCTGGCTCCCCGGCTCACCCACCTTTCACGGAGCCGGCATGCGTACCATGGATGTCCCTACAGAGGGAACCTGGGCGGCGGGACTGTCCCAAGCTGCCCCCTCGGGTTAGAAGGTGTCAGTAGAGGGTGGGAGACAGGTAGAGCCCTTCACCAGACTCCTGGGTCCTGACCCCGCGCCCTGGACGACGGCACGGGGGTGGCCGCGGGACTTACGATCTGTGCCAGGGCGAGTCCGAGCACCTGCAGGAGAACAAGGAGGCTGCGGGGGGTGGCCGCAGCGGCCATGGAGGGTCCGAGAGGGGAAGGTGCTCGGTCCACGCACGGTCGGACGGACAGAGGCTGCAGCGCTGGCTGCTCTCGTACGCGGCGGGCCGGGCCTCCTCAATATGCAGTGGGGCGGGGCGGGGGACTGTCACCTGAGAGGGTCGGGGGGAGGGAGGCCGGTGCCCTCCGCCCAGCTCCGCCCAGCTCACTTCAGCCGCCTGCGCCCACCCTCCATCTTCTCCCCGCGCTTCCTGGATGCCCTCGCCAGGTAATCTGAGGGGCAATAAGGGTGCAAGACGGAAAGCATCTTCCAGTTTCTTTGTGAGAAGGCAGAGCGCCGTCCGGGGTTCGCCTCTGGGCCTGCCTTCCAGGGCCCAGCACCTTCACTCCACCCTCAGCCCGTGCCCCATCACTTATTCCACTTCCTCAGACACCTCAGCCTGCGAGTCCCAGCCCGGATCAGTCCCGTCTCCTCCAGGGCCCAGGCAGAGCAGGCCTCAGGTTCTGAAGACCCTATAGGAGGCTCTGCCCAGCCCCCATCCACCTTTCTCCTCTCCTCACAGGTGCCTTTCTCTGCAGATAAACACACACTCAGGCCTCTTCCCTGTTAAAGCATCCTAAAGCCTTTCCTGAATGGGAGGTCCTCTGAACCCCTGTCCTTCACTGCCATACTCTTTAGGGGAATTGTCTGCACCCCACCTCACCTCCCCCTCACCTCCCTGCTTCTGCCCCATTTGGGAGATCAGTCACCAGTAAACCCCAATCCCTCTTCAGTCCTCCTGGCAGGAGGCTGGGGTACATCTACCCCTGCTTGGCCATCCCCCTTTGAAGTTGCTTACACCATGCAGCCCCTCTCTTCTTCTATTGCCCTTTCTTCTCTGTGGCTCCTTGAACAGTGGTGTCTCTAGGATTGAGTCTTCTTGCTTAACTTCTCTGAGTGATGTGATTTCCTCCATGTTCATAGCAACAACCACCACCTTACTTACCAGGGTTTCCCAAAACCTACATGTCCAGTCTAGACTTTCTCAGTAGTTACTTACCTGTCTTTTCATTCATTTAAGCAATATTGGTAAAGTACTTTGGAATCTGACTCTGTGACCAAAACCAAAAAACCAAACCCATTGATTTCAACTCATGGTGACCCTATAGGACAGAGTAGAACTGCCTCACAGAGTTTCCAAGGCTGTAATATTTACGGAAGCATCCTGCAGGGTGGCTGGTGGGTTCCAACTGCCAACCTTTCCTTAGCAGCCAAACTTCTAACCATTCTGCCACCAGGGCTCCTACTCTGACGACAGGCACCTAAAACTATTTGTCTCAATTTCCTCATTTGTAAAATGGAGTCTAATAGTAATACTTATTTCATAGGTTGTGTGTGTGTATGTGTGTGTGTGTGTGTGTGTGTGTGTGTGTGTGTGTGTGTGTTTGAGGATTGAATGAGATAATGCCTAACCCAGCACAATCACATAATAGGTGCTGAATAAATTTTACTTCCAGTGTAATTTATTGAGGACCCTCTGTTTACCAGGCCTGTGCCCAATGGCGAAAGCTGACCACAAGCAGATCTGCTAAAACAGTCAAGGAGACCACACTCTGGAGTCTTGAAAAGTCCAGCCTCATTGGGCAGGTTAGCAAAAGGCCCTGGGCTTTGAAAGGTGATCCTGGAACTGAGTTTGGAAGAAAGGGCTAGAGAGAACTTAACTGCTCTGCCTAACAGAGTGAGGAAGTATTTACTCCTCTTCTATTAGCTGAGAGTGTTTGTGTAGGATTAGTATTATTTCTTCCTTAAATGTTTGAGAGATTTATCAGTAAATCCACTGAGGCCTGAGGTTTTCTTTGTGGAAATGTTTCTAATTACAAATTCAATTTTAAAAATAGATATAAGGATTCATATTTTCTATTTTTTGATAGTTTGTGACCTTCAAATAATTAATCTATTTCATCTATGTTATTAAATTTATTTGGCATAAGATATTGGCGTAAGATATTGGTAACATTCTCTTATTATCCTTTAATTTTTGTAATGTTTCCTCTATCATTCCTGATATTGGTTATTTGTGTCCTCTCTCTATTTTTCTTGATAAGTTTAGCTAGAGAGTTAACAATTTTATTGACTTTGTTAGAAGAACTAACTTGGTTTCATTGATTTTGTATGTCCGTTTTCTATTTCATTGTTTCTGTTCTTACCTTTACTATTTCCCTTCTACTCACTTAAATTGCTCTTCTTTTTCTACCTTCTTAAGTTTGGTGCTTAGATCATTGATTTCAGAGCTTTCTTTCTTTCTTTCTAATATAAGCATTTTAAAGCTATAAATATCCCTATAAGCACTGCTTTAGCTGCACTCCTCAAATATTGATATGCTGTGATTTCATCATCTTTCAGTTAAAATGTTTTCTCATTTCCTTTGTGAATTTTTCTTTGATTCATCAGTTACTTAGAAATATGTTGTTTAATTTCTGAACATATGAGAATTTTCAGATATTTTTCTGCTATTTATTTCTAATTTTATACTCGTGTGGTCAGAGAACAAACTAGGATTTCACTTCTTTTAAATTTATTTAAACTTGTTTTATGGTCTAACGTATGGTTTATCTTGGAAAATGTTTCATGTACATATACTCTCCTGTTGTTAGAGGGAGTGTTCTATAAATGTCATTTAGAACAAATTGGTTTGTGGAGTCATTTTACTCTTCTATGTTTTGGGACTTTTTTTCTAACTGGTTCTAACAATTACTGAAATATGTATCTATAATTGTGAATTTGTAGAGTTCTCCCTTTAGTTCTGCTAAGTTTTGCTTTATATATTTTAAAGCACTGTTATAAGGTACATGCACATTTAGAGTTGCTATGTCTTCTTGTCATCATTATGAAGTGTACCTTCTTATCTCTGATAACATTCCTCGTTCTGAACTTTACTTTGTCTGATATTAATATCAACACTCAAGTTTTCTTATGATTAATGTTTGCATGTGTCTTAGTTCTTAGTGCTGCTATAACAGAAATACCACAAGTGGGTGACTTTAACAAACAGGAATTTATTTTCTCACATTTTAAGAGACTAGAAGGCTGAATTCAGGGCGCCAGCTTTAGGGAAAGGCTGTGTCTGTCAGCTTGTCTTTGTCTCTTTCAGCTTCTCTTCTTCAGTTCCTTGGTGATCTCCACATGGCATCAGTCTTTCTCCATTTGTGCTTCCTTGCTTCTGTGCTTAATCTGCTCCTTTTATATCTCAAAAGTGATTGGCTTAAGACATACCTTGCACTGATATGGTCTCATTAACATAACAAAAGAAACCCTATTCCCAAGTGGGATTATATCCACAAGTATAGGGGTTATGATTTACAACACATATCTTTGGGGGACACAATTCAATCCATTAACAGCATGGTATACCTTTTTCTATACTTTTGTTTTTAACCTATTTGCAGCTTTATATTTAAAGTGAATTTCTCATAGACAGAATGTAATTGAATCTTGCTTTTTGACCCAGTCTGACAATCACTGCATTTTAATTGAGGTGTTCAGACCATTTACATTTAATATAATTATCAGAATGGTTAGGTTTAAGTCTATCATCTTGCTATTTATTTTATACAGTATGTTCTTTGTTCCTGATTTTCTATTTCCTGCCCTCTTTTGGAGTAATTGATAATGATTACGTTTTATCTTCACTTTTGGCTCATTATCTCTACCCCCTTGCTTTATCATTTTACTGATTACTCTAGGTTTTAAAATATTTGCCTCTAACTTACCAGAGTCTTCCTTCAAATAATATTATACCACCTTATGAGCAGTGTATGAACCTTACAACAGAACATTTCAATTTTCTCCCTCTATCTTCTGTGCTATTGTTTATACAGTTTTCTTCTACATATGTTTAAATGCCTCACTACATTGCTATTGTTTTTGCTTTAAACAATCAGTTATCTTTTAAATAAATTAAAAATTGAGATAGAAAATGTCTTTTCTATGTACACACATATTTACCCTTTCTAGTACCTTTCATTAGTTTGTGTAGATTTAAATTTACATCTAATGTCATTTTTCTTTTGCCTGATAGATTTTCTTATGTACTCCTTATAGGTCTGTTGATGATAAATTACCTCCAAATTTGTTGGTCTGAAAAAGTTTAATTTTTGAAAGATAGTTGTTCTGGGTACAGAATTAGAGGTTGAATTTTTTTTCAGCAGTTTTTTCTAGCTTGCTGCCTTCTTGTATGCATAGTTTAGGATGAGAATTATGCAGTAATTATCATCTTTGTTCTTTTGCATGTTATGTACCTTTTTTCTCTGATTTCCTTTAAGATTTTGTCTTTATTACTGGCTTTCAACAATTTGATTATGATGCACCTTGGTGTGGTTTTCTTTGTGTTCATTATGTTGTGGTTCCTTGAACTTTTGGGATTTATAACTTTATAATTTTTATCAAATTTGGAAACTACGTGGCCATTGTTTTTCAAAAATATTTTCTGTCCATCCCTTCCTCTCCTCTCCTTCCTGGACTCCAAATACATGTGTTAGATCACTTGTTATTATCCTACTGGTCATTGGAGGTTCTGTTTATTTTGTTTTTTTCTTTTTTTATTGTGCTTTAGGTGAAAGTTTACAGCTCAAGTTAATTTCTCATACAAAAATTTATACACATATTGTTTTATGACATTAGTTGCAATCCCCACAGTGTGACAGCACACTCCTCCTTCCCAGGTCACCTATATCCATTCAACCAGTTTCTGTCCCTTCCTGCCTTCTTATTCTGCCTCCAGACAGGAGCTGCTCATTTGGTCTCGTGTACTTGATTGAACTAAGAAGCACACTCCTCATGTGTATTATTTTTTGTTTTATAGTCCCGTCTAATCTTTGTCTGAAGAGTGGGCTTCAGGAATGTTTTCAGTTCTGGGTTAACAGAGTGTCCAGGGACCATAGTTTCAGGGGTTCCTCCAGTCTCTGTCAGACCATTAAGTCTGGTGTCTGCTCTTTTTACGTGAATTTGAGTTCTGCTCCACGCTTTTCTCCCGCTCCGTCTG